GAAAACTTTTGAGGAGGTGTGGTTTAGTTCTCCCACCAATTATTCTCACCTCAGAATTTTTTATTGTCCTACCTATGCTCATGTCACAAGTGACAAATTGAAGCCTAGTTCAAAGAAGTATATTTTCATAAGATATGCACAAAAATCAAGTTAAAGGTCTATCAATTATGGAATACAAATCCTCAATCACTCAAAATTTAGTACCAAGCAAAGAGAGCTAGAAGTGAAACTCTTAAAGAATAATTTAGTGTGAGAAGAAATAGTATAAGTTCAAGAAGATATCTCAAAGAGCAATACAACACATCAAATCCCTCAAAGGCAAACTAGTATTACAACAAATAAACAACAAAAGATGGTTACAACTCCAAGTAGATATTTTGATATTATAACTTTTGTTTTCTTTGTTGTAAACAAAGTTGATGAGATAGAACTATGTTCTTATATAGAGGCTATTGCTTCGAAGAAGTCTTCTAAGTTGTAGTTGGTCATACAAAAAGAGATGGAGTTTCTATAGAAGAACAAAACATGAAAGCTATTTAGAGTACTACTTGGTTAGAAGATTGTGGGCTAAACAAGTGGGTCTTCAAGAAGAAGGAACCATGGTTGGTGAAGGTGCTCGATTCAAGACACAAATGATAATGAAGGGTCTCATACAATGAGAGGGCATTGAGTTTAATGAGGCATTGATAACATGCAAATTCTGCCTATTAAGTATGGTATAATTTAGAGAATTAGTATTTAACTTGATACAAAATGACACTAAATAATACATAAAATAGGTGAAGTATAATTTATGATCAATATTCAAAATAAATGTCGAATTTTGTGATTTTTTCATATTTTATATGACATGTATATTTATTTATTTATTATATTATTTACTTGAATAATAATTATAAATAAAATTCTACTTGCGGTTTAAATTATGATATAAATATTTTAAATTTTATTTAATATGATAAAATTATTTTTACTGTTTTTTAGAGATTTTTCGGATTTTTTTAGTATTCTAGGATTTATTTCAAGTTTAAATGAATATTTTAAAGGGTTTTATATTTTTCTAGAATTTCTATTAAATCCGAATTAATATCAGTGCTTTGACTCATGCATGTTTAAATTATCAAAAATTATATAAATTATTTTTATGATTTATTATGTATCTCTTAAGCCCTAAGTTAACTCATGTATAAATGAGTCTAGACTTACTATGTTGATTTCCCTTGTATGCCTAATTTATTATATTTATTTATTTAAGAGGTAATGGGCTTTATGTTATTATGTTTCAAGTCATATCAGGCCCATAGGCCATCTGGACAGACCACATTAATTAAGAAGGATACCCAACAAGAAGAAGGTGTTTTCCCTCCCCTCAAATTAAGGAAACCACCCACTTAAGGTGAGCGGTTCATTTCTCCCTTAATTAGAGGGAGGGGTATGTGGCACCATCTGATCAGCCACGCCCCTCTCCCTCATTGGGACTATCTCAAGCCCTCAATCAGCCCAATACAAGGGCTGAGATAAGTCCTAGGGTGAGGGAAGGTGAGAGGACACCTTAGGCACCACCCACCTTCCTTGGACTGCCCTTAGAGAGAGAAATTTAACCCAAAGGCTATGCACTCTCTCCCATGATCCAAGGGTTGAGAATGGGCACAATTGATAGAACTAAATTGAGAGTCATTAAAATATTTCAAAATTAATTGACCAAAAACATATAGAATCCCGAATTTACATAATTAAAATACTAAAATGAGTAAGTGTTGTGGTAAGTTCAAGGTCGATCTACAAAGAATGAGAATTAGGTGATATATAGTTACTATTCTACTTAGTGGATATATTGAGATGATATGAGTATGAAGAAGAAGCATATTTATCATCAGAAAAAGGGAGAAATAGACATGCAATGATGCAGGAGACAATTGAGGGGGAAAACACTCATAAAAGAATCGTAAGATGAGACTGAAATCATACATCTATCTATTTCTAACTTGTGAATACCTAGATGGTTGTTCACCTAGAATGTATCAAACTTGAGAAAACTTGCATTGGGCCTCTATATTTCACCAAGGCCAAACAGTTTTCTCTTCAAGTATACTTCTTTGACAATCTAAGCTGTAAATCAATGTTTGAATCAACCCAAAACACATCTAAATCGATGTGGAACCTCAATGTTGTTTCATTTGAGTTGACTCAATGTAGAGGCACTTGACTAAATGTAGACCCACTTGTTGTTTTATGAAGTCAAGTGATGATTCTCTCATATCTTCTTAATAATTATTTGATTGCAAGGATTTAAGTGAGCTCTTATTATGAGTTGAAAATAATAGAAGAAGCCCAAGTCTTATCGAAATGGCCGACTTGATATGTTTATGGGCCCAAAAAAAGGCATCACCTTGGCCTAACCTATTGAATGAAAAAAGTTTTTAAAACTTGAAATCATATAAAATCTCACTAAATTAAGCAAAATTTCAATTTAAAGTAGGAAAGGTAAAATTCTGACTTTACGACAATCATTGTCGAAAATCATATGATGCCACAGCCTCAAAATCTCTCCTTAGATATGGATGACATGAGCAATATCTAAATCTTCTTGTGAAGTTTAGAAATCAATAAATGGTTTAATGAATCATCTCCAACAGTTATTATATGACGAAATAGAAAAATGGTGACTTTCAAATCTCTAGTGGCAATCACCTAATATACATAAATTAGATGGAGGCGAGATGCGTCTTAAAATGCTTCATTCTCAATTCTACACAATAAGAAGAAACTCTTCATCACATCTATATGTTCTCAAGAGGTGACGAATTATCTCACAACAAATTATCTTCTTCTTGATAATGACTCATATGTTAATCAATCAAAGATGATTATCTCGATAGATTTGTAATATTTTTATTCAAAGTCATTCAATAGTTAGTAATAATATTCCACAAATCATATTGATGATATTTTCATTAATGATTAAGTGATTATGATAACTTAATCATTGATCGGTGCTCTAGAAGAAAAATATGATTTAGTTAAATAAAAATATGAATTTTGGCTATAGTGAGATTTGAACCCTCATTGTTCGCCCACCTATATGAGAGAGAATCAAATAAGTACACGAATACTTTACCAAATGATGTCATAAGGGTATATCCTTCTTACCATTCTAGGGTATTTGAGGTATATAAAAAAGTAAAAAAACTTGATAATGACCATTGACATGGGTTTAATTTCACATCAGTTATTTTTTTTTTTTGACACACATATAGTCATAACTTTTCATATGGTCAATATAGCCTTTCACATGTATATGACACTTCTTGCCTTACACTCAATTGACCACCAATGATGTGAAAGGAAAATGACACACATGTGCCACCAATCAATCTTTAGCCACCCAAATACTTTACTCATGACTTTGTCATACAATGCTTTCAACCTACTTGTAGGTGCAATTGGCCAATAGGTCCTCTAATTATGCTTCCAACCCACTTGTAGTCTTATTTTGCCAATTGGTCCTCCCTTTCTATATATCTATTTTTTTTTATTTCTCTTTATTTATCTCAAAAATTTATTGATAAAAATTATATAAATTCACATAATTAACTAAATATATATATAAACTAAATAAAAACTACTTTTCTTAATTTAATATAAATATAAGTCTATTTACAATGAATTAAAAGTAAATATATTATTAATAAATTATTAACTCATGATAATGTGGTCTTATTACACCCTCCAACTTAAATCAATACTATTCTATTAGTAATAAAATTATGAAAACTAATTAATATTTCAAAACATCACATTTTAATACTAAAAAATATAATTTAAGAATGATGAACCTCTAGATACTTTAGATTCTTATATCAAGTATTTTAAAAAAATAATATTAAACACTTAAATATTTAAGTACTCTTTAAAATAATAATTTAGATTTCACTTCTTTTATTCACATTTGTATCACTTCTTCACTCTTAGATATAATTCACAAGATGCTCTAATTATCAAAATTCATCTAAGAATAATATTTGATCTTATATTTTCTTTTTTTCATGACTTGATTTTTAAAGTTTGTACTATATTTCTTCTATTTTTTTTATAGTAGATAAGAACATTTTTCTATAGATAAATTTCAACAATAAGAATGATGTCTCACACCTTCTATGTGTATTATTTATTTTCAAGGCTTTCACATTATCCACTTATTTTATAACAAGTGTTTTTTTATAAACGATTTTTGATAATGAGAATGATTTATTTAATAAATCTAAGTAAAAAGTTTTGTATGAGTAATTGAGATGATTGAGAATGGATGAGAAATGAACAAAAGACTAAGGGAACATAAAAATCAAAAATATTTAACTTAGAGAAGTTAAGTTCACTTCTAACTAAATGTTACCTTTGGTAAGGCTAATAACTTAAATAAATTATTTTAATTCAATTAAAAAAATCAATGCAAAACAAAACTAATGAATAACGAGAAATATTTCTGTGCCTAAAAAATATTGAACAAGAAATCAGGAAAATAATCAATCAGCTTACTTCATAAATAAGATAAATATAAAAGTCTTGAAAGGTTTGTGATGCCATCTCCCTATATGATATGACTATGATGGATAAACCCATGGGGTCTAGCACTTGGACACATTCCTCCCCAAAACCCTCCTTAGCTTCAAGCTTATTTCCTAGGGTACAACTGAACCTTGAATATGTGAACTAAGTGACACTAATGTGGGCTGGGCTAACCCTCAACTATGAATCTAAGAGGCAAAACTAACCTTATTCCCCAAATCATGCAATGCATTCCATCTCTTCACCTATTCCCATCTCTCTCTCTCTCTCTCTCTCTCTCTCTCAATTTTACAAGAAGGGTGGTCTATGCCAATATATGTTTGACTGAGAACCTTGAACAAGAAAGGATTTAAATATAAAATCTTTTATCATCTTTGCATTGCACAAGAGCACTAGCATGGGGGAGAAATAAAAGTTGGGAAATATTACATCTTCTAACTCACAAATTGCTCCTTAAGAAGTAGCTTTCCACAGAAATCCAAGTCAAACCGGACCTCAGGTGGGTCACCGATACAGTCAAAAACAGCATCAGCATTCGCAAAGTTCTCCTCAGAAGTGTAGCTACCATAAGATGAAGAATCAAAGAGGGGGAAAGTTAGAAAACAAAATCGCTGATGGATAAAGTTCTATGTCCATATAAGAAAATTAAAACATTCCACTAAATAATATCCTTGAATAGTAAATGAATTGTTGGTTTCTAAGCCAGATCCAATCTCATGGAATAACTAGAAGCTACATTCTGACAGGTAAAACAAGCAAAAACTATCATGATAATTTATTAAGAAAGGCTTAGAGCCTAACCCAGCCCAGTTCATTTTTAGAGGGATGACCCCTGAAATCGTGCTCTGAAAAAAGGTTTTTTTCTAATAGATGTGTGATGAACATATTTTTAGATATGTAATTCCAAGATCTATGTTAAAGATGCAAAAGAGGAATGAACAGTCACCTGCTCTTCGTAACTATGCATTTCATTCCAGCAGATTTGGCAGCCGTAAGGCCTATGGCACTGTCCTCCACCACTATGCAGCTACAGAAAGCAAAATTTAATATATTATACTATTATTCATTTATTATGCCAAAAAATCTCAATAATAAATTCAAAGTTTCTTAATTATATTGAGCTCTAGGTGAACTATGCATGGATGGGATGAAAAATATCTTCTGAATAACATTAATACAGCAAGGATAGTAAGGTTTGAGTAATTTTGACCTTGATGTCTCTACACCAAGAGTGTCTGCCGCCAATAAGTAAATTGCCTGATAAAATAAAGTGGTTAAATAAATCAGTCTATAAAGTTGGTTGAAATTTATATAAAACTAGTCGCTAGAAAAATGAAATAACTAAAAACGAGTCTTAGCTATGTTTTGCAAATGAAGTCATTCCATAATTTAGACCAAAAATGTCACCATTTAATAAAATTACAGAGATTTTACCGGATCAGGCTTTTTCCTTGGAACAATATCCCCAGCAAAAATGGAAATTTTCTCTGCCCGGTCAGGTCCAAGCAAGAATGAGACAATGGCAGAAACCTGCAGTTCAGGTGATTTAGATATATGAAAACTCATTAAAATTGGAGATATGTCTCATTTAATACATGGGCAGAAAATAATTTTTGGCAGATATTAGGAGACTTGAGAAATAAGAATTTCCCAGAAAATACTCAGTTAATGACTTATAGATGGACAGAAGGTAATTATCACTAAAATTCGCAAGTGTCTAATTTTATGCATAGTCAATCAAGTGATGAGGCTAGATAATATGAAATAAAATAAAATAAAAATCCAAGAAAATAGTCTCAGTTGATGTGAATGGGCACAATAAGATTCGGAACCACTTGGCAGAAAATTGAAGATATGTATTTATTTTTAAACCGGAAATATATCTCATCGAGTAGGTAGTCAACAAAGTGATCATGGCAGTTGTGATGAATGGAACATCAAGTAAAGATCAGATGATATAATTAAAGGCACTACCTATCATCACCAGTGGAACAGAAAGGATTATTCTATTTCAAGTAAGCATTGGCATATTTACAGATATTTTTAAAATTAAGAATATTCAAAATGCAAAACTAGTTATTCATAGATATTTATAATTGTTGTTCTCCTCTTCCTGTCCCTACAACCTTAAGCTATATTTTTCTTAACCAAAAAATAATGATCTAAGACCAGCTTGAAACCTGAATATTCATACCGCCTTTTCATTTGATGTACTGCAAACAGCAACTTTGACTGCTTTCCCCAAGGCTTCATCTATCAGTCTGCATCATTATGCCATCAAAGTTTGATAAGAATACAATATCATAGCATTTGGCATGGAAACCGGTCTCCAACATTGGAAGAAAAGCAGAAGGAAATTCTAAAGAATTCTGGTTCATTAAAAGCTTTATCAGATCTATAAAAATAATAATATTTGGGCGAAATTCTGAGCTTCTAATCGTTTTTCAAAATTTTACAAATTATGAATAATTTGCATAAAGATCACCAAATGTTTTAAGTCATTTATCATTATTAACATTAGTGACAGAAGTACTGATACATTTAGTAAAATACCTATAATATATATATACATTTAGTACTGATACACCAAATATATATATATATATATATATTTGACAACTTGACTTGGCATCTAGATTAATAGCTTCAGCTAACCTTCTGTTTTACTTCTTCAGATAACATTTTCTAGAAAAATGATGATCAAAAAAATTTACTAAAAAGCCATTATCTTTATAGGCCGAGTTACCTTACAAAAATTATGAAAAGTTAATTCATAGGATTAATGGCTAACAGAAATCAATTCGTTCAACCTGTGGATCCAAGAAAAATAAAAAATCAAATATCATCAATTGTGGATTGATGATAGATCATTGGTCGATTTCATTATCCTCGAGTCAAACTTAAACCCATTTCCAGCTTTACAGACAGGTGAGAATAAAAAGATAAATATAGAAAATATGGTCAATCACAAGGATCAGATTGAAAAAATTACTCCCAAAGATTGAAAAAGGTAAACAAGTTATTCTACCATTGCTAACGTCATACATGCTTCAGAGTAACCTTTGATGAAAACAAGTCCTGATCCATTTCCTAATTTACAGAGAGGTAAGAATAAACCTAGGTAAAGATAGGAGCTTGATGAAAAAATTGCAAGCATTGAAAGGTATAAACAGATTATTCAATCATCTCTAACATCACAGACGGAGCAAAACAATTTAATTTACCTTGCCACACCTGGTCGAAGAGGAAGTAGCTTTTTCTCTATAAGAGCCATAAATAGGACAGTTTTTCTCTTGTGAAGAGAAGCAATAAAATCTTTCCTTTCCTCCTCGGTCTTGGGGGCACTTTCTGGCCACCCAGTCTTATTAAAATATGCCGTCATCCTAAATTTCACAGAACAATGAGAGAATGTTATTTCCTTCGCAGAAATCAAACTCCAGACCGAATATTGTGTTTCCCCTCTCATGGCTTTCCTTAGATTGTAAAAGCATACGATAACCTTGGATATCAACCTAGTAAGTGCCATATCTACCTTAAGAATTAACGCATGTAACTAGCAATTAGAAAATTTTGAAACCCAGCACCCTTTCATCTGAAATATTTGATCGATTTGATCAGAATTGTAGAGATCATTCTACAATCTCAATAGTAGAGAGAGGGTCGACGTCTTAGGATGTTGGAACTCAGATCAGAGGGCTTACCTCTCCTTTCCTCCCCCAATCTTGAGTAATTCTCCATACAGTTCTTCATCCCAGGCAACACCCAATTCTTTCTGGCATCAAGGCCACAGAAAAGGAACATATCATCAATGTGGTTTCAGCAGACTAGAAATTCATTCAATTCACGCGTTCATCTGGAGAAACTGATGAAAATCTCCACGAATACACGAAGATTTCGAGAAAAAATATGTATTTAAAGGAATATTTGACTAAGCAAATACTTCGCTGTCATTTTCTCTTTCGGAAGTGAAGCAGAAGCCTTAGCAGAATTCTTCAGGCCCAGTTCGAACCAAGTATAAATGACACATAAAATTGTTAGAGATAGAAAATCGAAGAATAAAAGGATATCCCATGTGATGGACATACATTTCCAATTACGGAAAATTAGGTGAAGGAAACCATTTTCACTCATTAGCGGTGCATCAAGTAAAAACAAACCAAGAAACCTAGAGCACGGCAAGCGTCCCTTCGAACCAACCTCGGCGAAGGTGTCGTTGAAGGAGATGCGATGCCCATCCTTTTCTGTGTCCACGAGCACGCCGTCGCAGTCGAACAGGAGCGCCGCAGGGAGAGGAGAACCAGAAGAGGACGAAGAAGACGACGCTGAAGAAAAAACCACACCGCCTCGCCGCCTTTCACAGAAGCGCGAGGAAGACGGCGCCGCGTTTCTTCCCAATCCCACACGAATTTGGAGGGCGGAGGTAGCACCAAGCGCAGATGAAACCGGAAGAAGAAGATGAGTCGCAGGCCGAGAAGGGGAAATCCTCCTTGGAACGGGAAGAGCGGAAGGCGTGGCCACAGCAGCGGCGGCGGCTGCGGCGGCTGCGGCGGCTGCGGCGGCGACTGCTCCGGCCATGGCCTCTACCCGAGAAGACGATCCTCACCACTCTTTTCCTCAACTGCCTCAAAGTTTCCATCTCTTCTCTCCTTCAGATGGAGGCCCAGAACCCCCACCAACGGCTCATTCCCCGATGGGGCCCGCTATCTTATCTTCCTCCCATCGTGACCCCCACCCTCCAAAAACGCCCGGCCCGGTTTCTAAGCTCCGTAAAGTCTCGGGCCCGGCCCGGATTATAACGGTGGGGCCCGCTATCTAATTCTCCTCCATTGAACCCACCGTATAAAAAGCCCGGCCCGCCAGGAACAAATGGGCCCGGTTTTTCAGCTCCGGAGTGTCTCCGGCCAGGTCGGGGGGGGGCCTGCCTGCCTTTTCAAGACCCATCTCTAGTGAGAGAAACACAACAAACTGTGGATCTATCCAGAGAGAGTGAGAGAAAGAGCGGGAAGTACGCAGTCTAGAGAGAGACACAAGCGTCGCTGATATTCGGACATCAGTAAACTTTTCAAGAGAAAATTGTATAATTTTTGCAATATTATTTAAAAAACATTTTAGTCGTAAATCGTCTAAAATAGTAAGAATTAAGGCCCAATAAGATTAATAATTGGCCAAACGCTCGATAAGATGGCGCAAATTTCTCCAGCAGTACATCGGGTCTCTAGTGAGAGAAACACAACTCTGGGTCTAGCGAGAGAGAGAGAGAGACCAGCAGCAATATTAATATTAATTGTTGTATTTCATAGTAATATTATACTTATATTAATTTTTTCAACATAAAATTCTTGAAGTATTAATATTTATATTTCAAACTCATAATTCGTTTTTAATGAGTGAAAATTAACGAACTCAATAAGGTGAGTAACTAGCCAATCTCTTTCGCAATGAGACAGGTCTCTAGTGAGAAAAGGACAGTTATTAGGTGGGTCTATCTAGAGAGTAGAGAGTAAACCCAACATCCCTGATTCACAATTTTCTATTGCAGTGCAACGGCTCTATAGTGAGAAAACGCAAGCAACTATGTAGATCTGGAGAGAGAAAGATCAGGCTCTAAGTAGTTTAGAGAGACAATAAGACGACGCAAATCTCTATCGCAATACGACCTGTCTCTAGTGAGAGAAATACAAGCAACTATTATGTGGGTCTACCTAGAGAGAGAAAACCAACACCGAACACGAGGCCGGGGGGGAGGGAGGTAGAGGAAAGGAAACGAAACTCTCAGAGGAGGCAGCAGCTAGCGGACGCTGCCAAGATGGCGAGTAATCCCACGGTGGAGGAAGCGGCGGCGCCACTGCTGTCTGCGGCGGAGGGCGGCGGCGGAGCGGCGGCGGCGGCGGTATGGTTACCCGGCGGCGAGGACGTGGGCGACTGCTCCTCCGCCGTGTGGCCGAGGACCTTGAGGATCATCTTCTGGCCCTTCTGACAGTGCTCCCTGAGGCCGCTGATGAAGTAGTAGGTGCCTGCGTGGTCGAGGGTCATCTCCGTCTCCCCGTTGTTGTAGAAGACGATCGGCTGCTCTGAGTTGCACCGCCCGTACTCCTCCTCCGTCACCACCATCACCGAGTCCTTCTTGTACCTGAACACTGCACTCCCCACCACAACCTTCAGAGCGAGAAAGGTACACAGAAAGAGAGAGAGATACATATACATATCTGTATCTATATATATATCTATATATATATAAATAGCTAGATAGATGGATAGATGGATAGATAGATAGATAGATAGATAGAAATACAGATAGACAGATATACAGATACATAGATCGATAGATAGATGTATAGATAAATAGATAAATAAATAGATAGGAGAGAGATAGATAGATGGATAGAGATATATATACTGCTAGGTAGATAGCTAGATAGATATATATATATATATATAGCGAGAGAAAGAGAGAGAGAGAGAGAGAGAGAGAGAGAGAGAGAGAGAGAGAGAGAGAGAGAGAGAGAGAGAGAGAGGAGAGAGGGAAATACTGAGGTTGTCGCCGATCTTGAAACGGTTCTTGGAGGCCCAATGGTTGTAGAGGGCGGTGTTGTTTGGGGGGGGGACAGCCCAGCCGCGGTCACCGCCGACGTCGAAGTCGAAGGCGGAGCAGCGGAGGCGGCCGGAGACAGAGGCGATGGCGGCAATGAGGAGGACCCTCCACCACATTCCCTCAGAGATCGCCGAAGAACGCAAGGCCATTCCTTATCTCTCTCTCTCTCTCTTCTCCTCTCCTTTTTCTTCCTGGGTCTCACAGAAGCGAGTTCTCAGCCTTCTCTCTCTCCCCTCCCTCTCTCTCTATCTCGCTCTTTCTTCTTTGTCTCTGCGCCTCCCTACGTCGCTGCTGGCCGGTATTTCTACGTCGTTCGCAGGCTTCATGGTGCAGTTAAAGGCGGATAGTTTGTTCACCTGCACGTAGAGAGAGAGAGAGAGAGAGAGAGAGAGAAGAGAGTGGGGGATCGTGGGAAGGACCAGGCGGTTTAGGTTTGAACATGACCGAGCCCGAGCGTGGGGGGATATTCTCACTCTCCAGTTTCATTCGATACGCTCAGACTTTCAAAGGATCGGTGAGGAAGTGAAGATGACATGTGGAGAGAAGATGGGGTGAGAATATCTGATTTGAACTAAGCCATGAAATATCTTTAAGGTTTTTAGTAAAACCCAGAAACTTTCTCAAAATGACACTTTTGGGAAGGTATATCGTTACCTTTATTTTAGGGTTTGTGCGTATAACATTTACTTCGGAAAATCTGTATTTTTCCTGCCCCTAACGTCGAATTTATTTTTTGTTCTAATGACAAAATATGTAAATAATGGAAATACATATTTTATTAATATTTTACTTATATTCATAAAATGACACTTCATACCCAATTTTTCTTTAAAAGCTTTTTTAAAAATAATGGAAATATATAATTGATTGACACAATTTCTGTAAATTTCTGAAATTATAATCTCTTTCAATTTTCTCAAAATATATAGTTTTAGTTTTTATATTTATACGGAAATAAAATTATATTTTCATTTTAAAATCTGGTAGCCAGATCTGGGCCAACCTTTGAAATGGTGAATCCTAGAAGCTGTTCCCCCATGCCACATGGCCTCACAAGAAGGTATCATCAGCTCTGCACCAACATCAACACGTACGAGTTGGAGAATCTAACGTGCGTATCGGCACGTACTGGGTGGAGCACAATGGGCCTCAAACTGCTTATTGGGCCCAAATAGCACAACTGATGTCTCAAGGCCGGTAGGCGGGAGAATCTTTGGTGCGCATCGGCACGTACGGGGTGGTGCACAACGGGCCTGAAGCAAAAGTTATCGCGCCCAGATAGGGCCTGATGAAGTGGGGACCACCTGGAGGGTGTTAAAGATGGTCTAATGGGCTGGGGCCAACTTGTGCCTATTGGACCCGCTGGAATGGCCCCAAAGAGATTTGGGGGGGTCTCTCTCTCTCTCTTGCTACCCTTCGCCGGAGGAAGAGGAAGACCATCTTCGGGTGGCCGGCGGCGAGGAATCTCGAGGGACGTAGAGTGGTGGTGGTGGTCGCCAGAGTCGTCATCCTCCAGTGTGATTGGGGGTTTCTGGTCGCTGCTGCCATTTCGGCGACGTCTGGATGAAGAGTCGTGTCGTCTTCTTCTGTGTGTTTTTCTCTAGTTTTCTTCTTCTCGGATACCTGTGAAGTTGGAGGAGTGGGCGCTGGTGGACTGCATCTGGTGAGGAGCGTAGTCTCTCTGAACCTCATCTCTCTCTTGTCTCTGTGCTGATTTACTCTCTTTTTCTTTCGATTTTTTTCTCCGCCAGCGTCATAATTAAACGTGCGATTCTATTCGTCTCTTCAATCCCAACTCCTTTAGCCACCCGCTCCAGCGGCATGTTTTTGATTTTTTGCGCCGATGAAATGGAATTTCCAGAGTCCTGTCCTGAAAAGCTATCTGTGTATCCAGGTAGCCCGTCCCTTCGCCAAGCTTTCGCCCGCGTGCTAAATCTTGCGGCTACATACAGGTGTGCACGGAGCTGTATTCTTTTTATTTTATTTCGAGTTTCTAGAGTGGAATTACGATCATATTCTCAGTTCTGAGTTCCATTATGAATGTGGTGGTTTTTCCTCAAATGCACCATATTATGCACAATTCGCTAAGTTCATAGCGCTAAATTTTATTAATGGAGTTAAAATTCGCGTTTCAGGGATTGCTATTTTTCTTCAGGGATTGGGGTTTTGTGCAGATGGATTTGGACGATGATGATTCTCAGGAGGTTGCAGAGGTCGAGAATGACATTGAGAATGGGGATGAGGCAATGTGGGATCAAAGAGTAGAAGGTGATGGCAGAGACGGTGATGGGGGAGTTGAGGAGCAGGACGATGAAGAAGGCTTTGGAATGGATGAGGGGGAAGGAGATGGACCAGATGAGTACCATTTTCAGTTCGAAGGTGGGATGGATCCCCTGGATGTTGTGGAGGCCGATGCCATCGAGGTGGAACCCTACCGCCTGTTTGAGCGGCTCGAATATGAGGCACTTGCTGAGAAGAAGCGCAAGTCTCTGCTCCAGAAATGCAGGTGAGAATAAAACTTTGTCCTATCCGTTTTGCTTCATCCCGCTCTGTAAGTTATTTTATTTTATCTTAAAAGGATGTGGTCAGAGGTACTATGATATTTTATGGGCTGCAATTATTAGTATCTCCTTTAACTGACATTTATGCTTGCCCGTTTTAAAAATATATTTCTTATGTTCCCTAGTTCATATCTCTTTGCAATTCCTACCTTAGGTTCATCTATATATGTTAGCCTCAAGATGCAGTTGTAGAAGTAAATGTCATCCCCACAGTGTGCCGCATGTGTAGAGTTTGGTAGTGACAGAATTGGTGTTGAATTGGCAGTTCGTATATGTCATCTCCTCAGTGCTCAAATAAGATAGGTCAGCTTTTGATTTGTGCTCAACTGAGCCGCATGATATAATTCATGAATAATCTATTTACGGTTTCTCTTGAATTGTGTACAATTGGTATCCTGCTTGCTGGCAGTTTGGTTAATAGATTTGCTTCAATATTTGCTATTATTTTTGAAATTTTCAAATCTGTATCCTCCCATTTTCAACAGAGAAAGGAACCAAAAAACAAGGGCCCCACTTTAAACGCATTTGCTCTTTGGTATGTTTATCAACAGTATGACAATATTGTTGTGTGTGCAAACTTTCTCCTGTAGTGATTCTATGAAGAGGCCTAGACAAGAGGACGCCTTTGGTGCAAACTTTGATGATATCTTGGAAACGATGAACCACAGTTTTAGAAAGAAATCCAGACAGGTATTACAATCTACTTGGGAATTTATTATTTTCTGGTTAGTTTCAAAAAATATTGATTTTTCAAAACATTTCCTTTCATTTCAAACTTTGAATTTTTGTTCGCCGTTACTTGAATTAAGGGATACAGTGATTTTTCCTGAGTCCTTATTTCCAGTATCATGCCTTCATTTGCCATAGACATTATTATGTTCTGTCACACCAGGCAATTCAATTGACTTATAACCATTGTTCAGAGGCTCCTTGCTTTATCAAATCCTGTTCAGATAATAGGTGACTCCATATTTTCGTTTTTAATTGCTGAGTATTTAATAATTTCATTTTAAAAAAATTTAGATCGTATCCAGTTCTATAGATAGTGGAAGGACATGAACACTAAGTAGGTTTGAATAGGGTCTAGACCATATGCCGTGGCATTTTCTATAATGTACTTAATTGGTGTTCAAATCTTATGCTAATCGATATTGGGCTCTTATTTGATTTCAATTTTGTAAATTTAATTGTCAGACTCACTTCCAAAGGGGAAGAAAATTGACATTATGACATTATCATTATCATTATGAGCAGGGCAGTCATATCATTATCGTTGTGTACTGTTAAAATAGTACTCAAGATCCCTTGGTGGTTTTTGCGCTTGATTAAAATTATGGATGAGTAGGAAGTAACGGTGCTCATCACCTGCATCTCTTGTGGTATATATCCTGTCAGATTGCAAGATGTGTTTCTTCTAGGTTCATTGAGTTTGTTGACCGTGTGTGCTTTAAAGTATTTGCATTAAATGCTTACCATTCAGTTCCCTGTGGACACGTTAGATATTTTATATTAAAATGATTAACTATTCTATATTGAGCAGCATAAGAAGAGAGGGAGGAGAAAGGGCTCAAAAAAGAGGTTGAGCCCTGAAGTCACAAGGAAGCTTGGTGATGCGACACTTTATTATGCATCTGGATGCTATGATAAGGTAGTTGAAAGGTTTCTTTTGATCCTCCTGTTCGCTTTATCTTTCAATTTTTATGATTATTTTAAATTAAACGCAAATTAACTTTGTCTGTGTACAATTTGAGATCTGAGGGAATCCTCCCTAACATTGAGATCTCCTTATGTTGGGGAGGAACCGTATTAGGTACCCACCATCAATTTTGTTAAGTTTGAAAACTAGAACAATTATACGTACTGTTACTCTCGTTGCTTATGTTGTAAGTCGTTCATCTTTTGATATGGGCGATTGGTTCTTTGATAGAATAGTCCCACATTGATTGGGAGAAGGAAAATCTGTGTTGAAAATATAAGGGCTGACATTGCTTTTTAATTGAAAGGTCTGAAACGTTCTCATGGTATCAGTTCTTGGTAATGGGATTTGATTGCAGTGACTTATTTCCATTTTAATAGATAAAGATTTTAAACTAATGAACCTGCGATAGTATAATTCCATGTTTAGTAATAGACATTAAAGTATCCAGTTATCATATACAAGTCCGATTTATTTTTCACATAAAATACTGTTTAGATGCTTTATGTTGCAAAGTTGCTTTTTATGTGATATAAAGTTTCTAATGCTTTTTATCTCCAGATAAGAGCTTGTGCAGTCACTCTTTTCTTGCTTTGATAGAGGTCACTATTTTGTGGGGTTTAGATTTGATGTTTGGTTTCTTGATCATACCCGTGTCTGTGGGCTTGCTTTCTATCTTAAACAAAAGCTACACTACTGTCAGATATCATGTGAAGTACTTTTATTATATGGTGTAGCATATCCAAAGTCTTTCAGCTGTTGTTTCTTTTCGATTTTGTAGAAACTGAAGCATGTTTACCATTTAAAGGAGTTTCCTCTTTTTCCTGCAGGCGATTCATTTATTAAAAGATGTTCTACAGATTGCACCAAATCTTTCTGACGTCTACCATACACTTGGGCTCATCTACAGTGCTATGGGGGATCGGAAAAAAGCTTTAACTTATTACATGTTCGCAGCTCACATGGCTCCAAAGGATCCATCTCTGTGGAAGTTGCTTGTTGCATGGTCCATGTGAGATGTCCTTCATTGATTGTCATAACCCAAGCATGAAAGATCTGTCATTGGTTGATAAAATCCGTGTTTCTTTCCTGTAGAATATTTTAAATAACACTATCCCTTCATTCCATTCCTTCAAATGACCATAATCCTTCTTGTTTATTTCACCACTTGACTTTTAATGCTCACTTTTTTTTTTTGTGTTCTAATGGTGTTGTCTGCTTGTGTATAAATGTGCTTGAATATGTTACTTTGATTTTATCTTTCTAATGTTCCACTCTTTCATTTGCTTTTTCCTGTAGAATAAGGCTTCTTTCAAAACATATTGTAGAATATTTTCTGATAAATCCAGGAATTTCTTCTGTAAAGTGGTACACAACACAAAGGGACACTTTTCTTCAGCCTAAAATATTGTTCTCCTCACTCTCCAACCCCTTTGGTAGCTTCTCTCCTTTCATGACTTTATTCTCTACACATTATTTCATCTGTTATTTCCTCATCAGACTCTTGTTTTCTCCAAATTCATCCACTCCGAATCAACTCTTAAAGCCAACTGTATTAACATTGAATAGCAAATCAACCAATAATTATAATGGATAACGAAGTTCTCAACGAATTAGTACAACTAAATTTTCAGGATGAATAAAGACAATTTCCTGCTGGCAGATGGGACAGCATAATAGGGTCATTAGTGCCATTGCTTGTTGCATAATCAGTAGTCCCCCTAAGAGCTATAGGAAACATATTTGTTCATTATTTCAAATTTTTTCTTTGAAATATTTCCACCATTGTGCTCTTATTCAATTGTTGATTCCATTGGTTCATACTTTTTCTGTTAAATCCTACAGACTGTATTTTAGGTGCCATGAACTTGAAAGTGCGTGGTTAATTATTAGATGAAAAGAGTTGGGGATATTAGATATTCTTTACATTTGGTCTATTGAAAAACATCATTGATTTGCCGATCATCAAAGGTAATAAGATCTAAGCCAACAAAAATTCATAGTTGCTCGTAATGAAATCCAAATGACAGAATTCCCATTTCATTTATATTGCTTTTCTGGAATTAAAATTTTATTAATTTTTTTCTTTCATTTGACTCAGAGAGCAAGGGAACACTGGACAAGCTAGGCATTGTCTTAGAAAAGCAATAAAAGCAGATCCTCAAGATATAGGACTTAAATTTGACTATGCATCACTATATATTGAAGTTGGCGAGTATCAGGAGGCTTGGAAATCTCTTGAAGAAATAGTGAAACATTACCCTGATGATTTTGAGGCTCAGATAAAGGTTTCTAAGGTATGCTTTCTATGTCTCTTCTTGGTTATTTGAATTGATATCTAGAAAACACTTTTCCTCTTTAACTTTTTTCTCCCTTTTCATAACATCTGATTCTTTTCCTCTTTTTGTTGACATTAACATCGCTACACTTGACTAGCCTTCAGAAAAATCAGCATCACATGAAATGTCCATAGGATATTATTAATTTGTCATGGAGGCCTCAGATGTTGTGAATATTTCAGTGTCTGCCTTATATTCTGCCTTTACCAAACTGTCTAAACTGGTATTGTTATATGTATCTGGTAACTGTCCCACTAGGGAATTATCAATCTTTCTGTGCTATTTTCTAGAGCTGACATATGAACCACTATGGTAAATTCTTCACTGACTCTTCTCAGAACTTTACTTCTGATTGGTGACAGATTATCCCCAAGCTGTTGGATAATTGGAAAATAAAACTTGCTGAAGAATTCCATTTTGTGTAGAGTGAATTTTGAGGGTAACCACGTTCTACATTTACATGTTCTTAATTTCTTGTCATTCACAAATATAATTCGATCAACCTAAAAAAAACTAAACGCTGATGTTGCTGTTGTAATGTTGTCTCTACTGGACATGAAAACTTATCCTTTGACGTCAGTGGATAGAAAGGCTTCCTAAAACTACATTAGATCTTACACCATCATAATCACATTGTAGAACAAACAAGAAGAAGACCATTTTTAGTTGTATTAGCATAGAGGAAGGTTCATGGAATTATTTGCCAAGTTGTGGTCGGAATCTCCCAAGGGGATAAAAGGAAACAGAATAAGGAAGACTAAATAAAGCAAAAAACTTTAGTTGAGATACCCTACAATCAATTGAAGGCATTGATAGTTATGTTGTGCCTTGCTTTAAATTAATTTCCAGACTCTCTATGGTTAAGGTTTTTATGTGAGGAAGGATGAAGCAAATTATCATCATGATTTCAGGGGTGATTTTTTTTGCATTAATTTTCCCTGTTAAATTTGAAATCCAAAATCTGAATTCCGCCTCCATATTTCCTTGATTTGAAAGATCTCCTCTTAGTCATACTTGGAAATATCCTTGAAAGGTCTCGTTTGAATTAATACGGATTTTTATTTAAGAGGAAGCAAAGCCGGAGACTATCCTTATCCACTAAATGAGTATATCATTGAAACTACGTTTCTCTTTCAATCTGAAGACCACTCTGATAGGTTTTCTTTTCCTCTATCTGACATAACAATTTGTTGATAGTTTTTCTACTATCTTTAATATCGAATCTGAACAGCTTTTATTAACCTGAATTCTTTTGGTTTTTGTCACCCAGATTTACCATGAGTGTGGCCAAGTCAGCAGGGCTACAGAAGTTTTAGAAGCCTGCATTAACAAGCATTCTTCTGAAGCCGATCTCAATGCATTTTCTCTACTTATCATCTTACTCATGAAAAACAATTCTCATGGAAAAGCTCTTCAGTATATTGAGCAGGCGAAATCAATATTTTACCCTGAGAAGGAGTTGCCATTGCATCTTACTGTAAAGACTGGAATTTGCCTACTATATCTTGGAGATATTGAAAATGCCAAGGTATACTGCTGCCACTTGAATTTAGAATATTTATCATGAATGATATTTATATGGAGAAATTCTATTCTCCTTAAAATTTTGTTTGTTGATTCTTGTGCTGAGTTGTTTGTTACTTTTTACTTTAACATTCTTCAACTAATGTCAGATGTAAGATTGAGTATGTTTAAAATTTCTCCAGTAGGATTCAACTGTGAAATCTTGAGTTGCTATCTTCTCTTAAAAAATTGCATTGGTGTGCTGATGTTTTATTTTGGTTGGTTTCTTAACTGTTTCAGGTTCATTTTCAATGTCTATTAAAGGGTACCACGGAATATGCTAGCAATCTAATTTCAGAAGTTGCCCACTCATTTTCAAATGTTGGACTTCACGATTCTGCTCTGGGTTACTATTCCATACTTGAAGAGATTTCTTCAGATGCGAAAGTAGGTAAACTGCAGTTTTTCAGCTTCTAGCTCATCCTGGGAACGCTCAATGCTTCTTGTCGATGTTTATCCTCTAGAGATACCGTTTTGTTTTTCTGATGTAAGATGTTGGATCAGAAATCTTGAATTTTCAGTTTAAGTAATGCCTTGTGACTTGTGACACTAGTCGCTTTTAAAGGTTTGTGACAGAAGATCTTTTCATAATCAAATATTAACCTGTAAGGATAGGAAACTGGTTGTTATAACTGTCACAAGCTCATCTCGATCTCCTCTTCAGTTCTGCAGTCGCTGGTGCAGTGAAATGGAGAAGCAAAAAAGGAAGTACAGGCTAAAACCTAATTTTTCATTCTCAGTTCTCAAATGAAGCGGGACTAGTTTTTATGCCTCTCCTGAAAGTTACGTAGTGTTCCTCAAAAACTGCGTTTAAAAAAATTGCAGCCAGAAATGTATACTATTTTCTATTTTTCACTTTTTATTAAGCATTTGTACATATCCATTTTTTTAAACCTGTTTGGCTTTTCATCACAAACCAACTTGTGTATGCTAAACTGATCCTGATCGGTTCTCTGGCTAATTGTGGATTTCACTACTCAAGGACTAGGGATGAGAGTTGGAACATTGAAATTGGGAGACAATGATAGAAAGAGAAACGTGAGGAACATTATACACTGTTATTTTAAATTATTCAGTTAACGGAACATTTGTGTCTGCTGGTCACTGAGGACTCGCCGAATATGATACCCAACCATGAAGCAGCATTTTTCCTTGATCCTCTTAATTTTCTTATTCTTTTTTTCATGATTTTATCTCTTTAATATTTTATTATTTAGTCATATCCCTAATTTTTTGTCCTCCATGTATTTGGCATTCCAGGGTCCTCTACTACTTAAAATTGGTCATTGTTACTTGTCCTTGAACGAAAGGGAAAAAGCTATCCCGTTTTTTCACAAAGGTATTGAGTTTCCTGTCACTTCAAATAGTGTACATTTGTGGTTTTCAGTTGCTTCCGTCAACTGAGATGTGGATGGCAGATGATTCTGATGTTGTGTCTCTGTTAAACTTTTGGTTTTGTTGTTTCTTTATCAAGTTTGCTGTTTGGGTAAAATTGATGTGCTATAATGTGCTGGCGACTGTGGAGTGATGACCAGGATGGTGATGTGACAGAACATGTAATATTATTTAAATCTTGTCTTTATCAGGCTGGTTCTGTGTTATTCATTTATGTCTGGATTCCTGCTTCTTAACTCAATCCATTAATCTCTGGTCAAAATATGTATGTATTGGCTCCAGCTGAAGTTTGTGTACTGTAGATGTTAGAGGGGTGTCAATGAAGATTTTGTCTTGATGCTAAACCTGGCCTGGCCAGTTGGGTACACAGTGGGGACTGCGGGGTGTGCTGCTTGGATTGGCTTGGGTTTCTGCCTTTGAATGTTGTTTTTTATGCCACCTGAGCATCTACTGCTCTGGGGGGTTAATACAGGCATTGTCATGGCAGTAACATTCATGTCCAATGATCAAAGCATAGCATTGGTACAAACCGTGGGATTTGGTGAGGCATGAAAAATTTGGAAGTAGCAGATCACAAATTTACAATAATTGTTGGAACAGTAAACCAGTGAGCATTCCTATGACTGCTGAGAGGTAATAAGTGGTTGTGCAGTTTTTCCCCAGCAAAGTTAGCCATTATGTTAACAACCAGTAGAGAAAAACTGATACAATTGCCTCCTCTCCTCTTGGAGGACAAAAAGGAAATAACTAATGTATTCCAAGAAAATGGAGAAAACAATGAAAAGATGGGAATTAGTTCGAGAGAATTCCCCACTCTCCCTCTCTCTCGTATCACTTCAACCACAATACCTCCTCTTATTTACATGGGAGGGTATTTATATTATTTGGCCTATTCCTATCTTCGTGTTCACTATAGAAGTTTCTAGACTGTTCGCTTATGGCGAACATGTCTTTAGGGGTACTGTATCAGTATTCCCCCATTCAATTCCACCTTGTCCTCAAGGTGGAAGTCAGGAAATCCATGCATGATCTATGAAGTTGCTTCCCATGTTGCTTCAAGGTCTGGAAGGCCTGCACATGTATGAGAACATTTGCTCCTATTGTTGTAGGCCAAACCTCTTGGCAGGATTCTAGTACAAGTTTCCATTCAAGCTCTTGTGTTAAATTTGAAGGAATGGGTTATACACGACGATAAGGTCCTATTGCCCTACGTATCTATGAAATATGAAACATTGGGTGAATAGAAGAATGGACCTAAAGGTCCAATCGATAGGATTATTGGCCCATATAGTGGACCTTCCAGGGTCCAAAATATTGTGGTTCTAATTTTTCATTTGGCTTCTTAGCTGGGGATTTCATCTTGAATGGTCAAAGACAAAGATAGACAGAGTCCCCTCCCATAATTTGAACATCTCGTCTCTTTCTATAAGCCTTCTAATTCACAATGGTTTGGTTGCATCTTAATTGGTGTTTGATGAGAGTGAGAATTTGATCTTTGTCCTTTAGTTGCTGATCCACTGTATGTTGAATTTCCTTTAGTTCGTTCGTTTCTTGAAGAACAACAGATCTTCTCGTGGAAGAAAATAAGGGCTTCTATTCACGACATATGAGGAAAAAGAATTCAAGAAGTGTTTTTACATCGAGACAGGGGTCTGTTATTTATAACAGATCCATGGGAGAAGGTTCTAGACATAGAGCCTTACATCCTGAGACATGCAGGTGATGTTCACGTGCTTCTTTAAGTGAAGCACGTGATACACCTCACCCAACTGCTAATGCAGTATTTACATTATATTTCAACACTGTAGAAAGAGGTGAGGGCAGAATGTCATATTGAATGATGGTGACAGGATCTCATCCATGAACCACATTGAATGGGGTTGTCTTGAGAGACGAATGGAAGGCAGTGTTCTAGCAATATTCAGCCCAATGCAACCATTTACTCCAAGAATTAGGTTTATTGAAGGCAAAACATCTTAAGTACGTTCCCAAGTACCTATTTACGACCTCCAACTACCCATTGGTTTGCAGTTGGCATGAGGTACTCATCTTCAATTAACACCCTGCAATTTAAATAGTTTTTTCCAAAAATTACTTATAAAATTTTTGTCACGATCTAAAATAATTAATCTTGGAATCTCATGAAGTCTTACAACTTGGAAAAGATGTATGCAACCTCAAGCGCTGAAAATAGATGTTTTAGTGGAATAAAATGATTGTATTTTCCAGTATAGAATTAAACCACTTAGATCGAGGTAATCCTTCCAAGAAATTCATAGTTAAGTCCTCCCAAATGTGTGTAGGCATCAGTAATAGTTGAAGGAGACCTACAGGAGCAAGTAAAGATGTCTTCTGTTTTTAACATATTGCACACTCATCAATGTACCTCTTAATTGTCTTTTTCATGCTTGACTAGTAGGCATTATGTGAGGCTCTTTGATAAGTTCGAAGAAATCCAATATGTCCACTTGGGCTATCATGGAACTCTCTTGAAAGAATTAGAATAAAAATAGATTGAATTGAGATTACTAGTCATTATTTATGTAGTAATAATCCCTATTGTAATGAATAGGATGTGCCTGAGGATCTTTAGATAGATTGGAAACAATTGAGAATAATCTCGGGTCTTGAGATACTTCATATTTGATCTTAATGAGATCAATCAGTTGAAAATGTGAGACCAACATTTCCTATAGTTTTGTCATAGTCAGGAAGCGAGATAAAGCATCTGTCATCTTATTATATTTCCGTTCTTTAAATTCGATTTCAAAATCTAAACCCATCAATTTGACAACTACCTACGATAAGGATCCAACATGAGTTTCTATTCAAGTAAGAACTTCAAGGACTTTTGGTCTGTGCAGATTATAAACCTTTGGTGTAATAGGTAATGGTGCCACTTTTGAAAAGACTTTACTATGGCAAACAATTTTCATTCATAGGCTGATTTAGCTTGTAGCTTTCTCGATAAAGTTTGATTGAAATAAGTTAAAGGTCGGCCTTCTTACATTAACGCAGCTCCAATTCCATAATTTGAAGCATCTATTTCAATGATGAATATTTTAGAAAAATCAGGTAAGGATAACACCGGAGTTGTAGACATTGCCTCCCGAAGGTGATCAAAAGCACTTTGGCCATCTTGATTCCAACAGAATGGTTCCTTCATCAATAATTTAATCGTGGGTGCTACAATTAAAGAATATCTTATCACAAAACGGTGATAGTAACTAGTAAGTCCAAGGAACAATCGTAATTCATGAACATTCTTTGGAACTGACGAACTTCTCATAACTAAATTTTTTCATTCATCCACCATTACCTCTTCAATTAAAATCTAGTGCCCCAGATATTTCAATTTGTGTTGGCCGATTTGACACTTATTTGCGTTCACATGTAGGTGGTCCTCACAAAATGACAGTTTGTGCTACTCATGTTGATCTTGGTCTCTACTATAGACTAAAATGTCATCAAAAAATATTAGAACAAATTGACAGATATAAGGTTGAAAAATCTGGTTCATGAATGACTGAAAAGTAACGGGATTATTCATTAAACCAAATAACATTACCACAAATTCGTAATTAGCCTTCATGGGGTTTAAATGTCATTTTTGGAATGTCATCAATCTTCATTTTGATTCGAGAATAGTAAAACTTTAAATCTAATTTTGAAAATACGGTCATCCCATGTAACTCATCCAATAACTCATCTACTACAAGTATAGGGTAATGATTGGACACAATTATTTTGTTTCAGGCATGATAATTCACACAAAACCGCCATCCCTCATCGTTCGTTTTTTACTAGAATTGTTGGACTGGCATAAGGGTTTTGTGATGGTTGAATTATACCTATGTTGCCAAGTTCTTGAATGATCTTTTCAATTTCATCCTTCTGATAATGTATTTATACAATCTTAGATTGAAAAGTTAGCTCTGGGTAGACATGGATCGAATGGTCTGTCTCTCTTTTAGGAGGTAATTCAATTAGTCGAGAAAATACTTAAAGAAATTGACTCGAAAGTATACCTTATAATTCTGCACTAAAGACTATTTTATTTGTTCTTGAGAAGGTGCTGGTACTTGATGTAGTACTAGTGATAATGGTTGGTTCCTCCTAATTAGTTTTTCCATAGTATTCAAGGAAATAATAGCTTTTGACAGACTTGCATCTCTTTCAACGTTTTTACCTTCCCATACGCCACGAATTTCATAATTAATAGCTACCAATGGACATGCATCCATCCGATTGTTCTCAACCACTGCATACGAAGCCTTTTGTATGAGATCTATGCTACCCAACTGCAAAGGTAAGAAATATTTTGTATTGTCAGCCCTTGTAATTGTAGAGTAACATTTTTGCAATTTCCCCAGCCTTTGATTATATGTCTATTACCCATAATGATTCCATAACTGATGGACTTAGTTAAGGGTAATCCAAGTTCCTTCATTAAACTCACACATATGAAATTATGTGTGGCCACACATTCTACCATAATAGTAACATCACAACCTTAAAGGATCTCTTTTAGCTTCATAGATCCTGGTTGTGTAAGTCCAACCATGGAATTTAATGAAACATGGGCAGTAAATAATGTTCCTTCTTCATTACATGATTCTTCCAGATCTGCCCAATCAGCCTTTAATTCCTATTGAGTCAGTTTATCATCAGATTAAATAATTGAAATTTGAAAAAGCTTCTTACAACAATGACCAGACCCATATTTGTCATCACAATGGAAACATAAACCCTTGATCCTACATTTATGAACTTCAGCATTTGTTAATTGAATTTGTTGTCTCTGCTTGCCCTACAAGGGGTTGGTGTCCACCCCTATTTTCTTTGTTTCATATTAAGTTGTTGACTTGTGGGAAGAATCAGGCTTTCTCTCATCATTTCGTACAAGTTTTTCTCTTGACAAGGGTAATCCTATTATTCTTGGTGTGTAACTAGACATAGGGCGTGCCTCTGTTCTAGTCTGTTTGGGTAAACTAATATGTCATGCTTCACATAGAGTGCATAAGTGCTCTCGGCCCCCAATGAGGTTTCCATAATTTCTAATAATCCTACTAGTTTCATTCTAGACAATTCGAACTAGATTTCTTTCTTCATATCTTTCAAACAAGTCTGCTCCTTGATTTCCTTTAAAATATTGAAAAGAAAGTTAGAAAAATGTTCAAATTCTTGTCTATAATCAGATACTGATCCTTCCTATTTAATATCAAGAAACCGTTGATACATGTTTCTCGCTTTAGAAGTTCTAAAATGCCTCTCAATCTGGATGCAAAATTCCTACCAATTCTTAAACAAATATTGATCTTCCATCCAGATGTACCATTCCAATGCGATATCATCCAAGTGTACGTTGATTACCTCCATTCATTCTTTCTCTTTTATTTTGTCGATTCTAAACATCGTTCTGTACATTGAAGCCATCTTTTAGGATTGCCTCCTTTGAAGATTTCAAGATCTTCTTTCCTTATATGTCGATTAGGTTCTGAAATTTGATTTAAAGTTGGCACAAAGGTTTGCACCTCTGCTCGTAGATCGATTTTCTCCTGTTGTTCATTCTTTGGAGAATTCTTAACCGATCAAGATGTCATACTTGCAGTTGAATCCTTCTTTTCTAATGCTAACAGCTTCTCACTTATGAAGTTCTTGAATTCGTCAAACTTCTCATTCATACGTTGAAAGAACCTTTGTAGCAGATCCGCTGATTCAGATTCGATTTCAGCAACTCCCTCGTTCATCATTGTTCTTCCTTAATTTGTTCTGCATCTGTCTCCAATGCCTCCAGACAGTTCTCTGTAATTCTCAGTCCCATGCTTCTAGGACGAGGCTCTAATACCAATTGATATGATCTCCTCCTCTCCTCTTGGACCACAAAAGGGAAAAGACCGACGTATTCTAAGAAAACAGAGAAAACAATGAACAGACGGGAATGAATTCAAAAGAATTCCCCACTCTCCCTCTCTTTCATGTCACTTCAACCATGATATTCACAGAGGAGGGTATTAATATTGTTCAGCCCATTACTATCCCAGTGTTCACTATAGAAACTTCTAGACTGTTTGCTTATGGTAAACATGTCTTTAGGGGTACCGTATCAAAAACCTAGTCATGAACTTCTTAGGATTCCATAGCACTGTTTGAAATTGGACGAGGTCCACTTACATAGAATCAAGAATCACTAGGATCAGCTGATTATTTTCCCATGCTCTCTGTTCTTTGAAATTGTTTGACAATTGGTTAATTTTTGTTTCAGGCTGACCCTGTTCTTTCAACACTTGGTTTCTACATCATTTTCTAATTGATTTGACAATGAATCTCTTACCTAGATTTGAGATTAAAACAGAATATTTAGCTAGTATTGAATCTGTTTTCTTTTGGGTACAGCATTATCTTTAATGGAAGATGACATTGATGCCCGTGTTGTTCTGTCCTCCCTTCTCATTGAAGAGGGAAAAACAGATGAAGCAATCATCGTGCTGTCACCTTCTGGAAATTCTGGTAAAATATGTTTTCTGATCAAGTAGAGTGGAGTTTCATGTAATCCTTGTGAAATTTCCATACCTCTTGTAATTCCTCAATTTCTCCCTCTCAAATAGAAGTTATCACCACAGCAAGTTCAAACACAGTGGAACCTGGACATTGGTCACTCAATGGAAGGATCAGATTGCAGCTTGCTAAAATTTATCATGGAAGAGGGATGCTTCTGGAGTTTGCTGACGCAATTCTCAATTGCATCCGCGAAACATTATTTATTGAGGCAATGAACGAAAAGGTATACTAACAACCAGTGTCACAAAACATGATAGATAAGCTTGCATTTAGATGAGAACCAGTTTTGACAAGATTTCGTTTAACTTTGTGGCCTTTTTATTGATTACACCTTGTTACGGGAACAGGTTAAAAGCAAGAAACGTCTCTCAATGAGTGCTTTGCTTGAACGGGCTAAGTTGCTGCATGAGCATGAAGATGACAGTGTCTTCCGTGGATTCAGACCAATTGCTAAAACTGCTGATTTGTGAGTTTCTTGCCATTTATGTTATTCACTGGTTATATGGGCAATGTCCCTGTTGTCTTGCATTCAGTGGTTGGTAGGTAGTGGGAACATTGTAATGCAGAGTAGAAAGTGTCTTTTTAAATCAAAATGGAACCACTAAGCAGAAGACTCAATCTATAAAAGATGGAGTCTGGAAATAATGGCTATTCGTGCTTAATTACCTTACTGTACTGGTGATTGATCTTGTCTCGATGAAGATACTAATGATTTTAAACCTGTTAACATTGAATTCCAACTCAGTTCACTAGGCTTTAAAGACAATGGGGGAGAGGAACGGTTCCTTTCACTGCGATATTGTCTGCAATGAAGTTCATTAGAACACAAAGCTTTAAGGAGTTTTAAATAGACTACCTGGATTTATCTTGTACGCCAGCATAAAAGGGAGTGAATGCTCTAGTTGTGCGGATTGCATTGAGAATACTCATAAGGAATGCTGGTGACATCTAAATTCATCAAATTCCTATCTGAATCTCATTTTTTGATTGATATGCTTCCCAAAAAGAATTATATCAATCCCATCTGTTCATTAGTCATTGCGTTCTAATATCCCTTCCATAGTTATTTCGTGCATGGTAACTCATACTTTTGTTCCTACGTTTTATAAGATTTCACTTGGAGTTTTCTTAAATTTGAGATTGCCTTTTTGCAGAAACAAGGCATCCAGAGCCAGAAAGTTGCTCAGGGAAAAAGAAAAAAAAAAAGAGGCTGGAAATCTTGAGTGGCAAATCGAGGAGTCTGAAGATGAATCTCCTGTAAAGTGAACAAGTTTCATATATAGGCGTCTATTCCTGCTTTTTTCATTTCCTCTACTATAATCTGATGTAACATCGCTTATATGATCGGTGGACAACATGGATAGAAGAATGCATATCGTGAACCTCCTCTGCTAAATCTCCTGAAGGATGAGGAACATTATCGCCTTATTTTAGATGTGAGTATTATTCTTCACATTTCTTTCTATTCCCGTGCACATTGATTCAGAAATGTGGAGCATTGCTCTGCGCATAAGCTTATATGCATTTATGCTATTGATTTGTGATGGCTCATGTAATATTTAAACTATGCTTTCATCTCACTGAACTGTTATAATTACTAGGAGTCAGGGAACCGCCAACTATTTATTAAGAAACTAATGTGCCCTATGAATAGAAAATATTCATAACTTTCAGAGTTAGATTTTTACTGTGTTGATATTCTGCGTACTTGTGTTACGGAGTTTTTAAGTTTGCAACTCCAGCATACTTTTGTACTTTCACCATATTTTATGGTAGTGAATGTTTCCGCACTAAAAATCTTTCCAAGTAGATTTTGCAATGGGAAAAATCGTGGGTTGGGGAAATGTTAAGAATATTTGTATAGTTTGTGGCGCTAAACTCTGTGGGAGTCTGGTTCTCTGTGTGAGTGTGATGTTCCCTTTCTGATGATAGAAATTATGCACTATTATGACCCAATTACTTGGAACTCGTTCCTATTTGTAGAGTTAATCCTGCATGTCTATCTTGCAACAGAAAATTAGTTCTCAGCGGCTAGGAAACATGAGGCTATAAAACTTACACTTTTCTGGTATCGTTATTTCTTGTGGATGATTTGCATCTGGAATCCATTGGCTTTTCTGGGGGGTTTTTGAGTTATTGGGAGGTGCTATGGATGAAAGAGTAATAGTTGTTATTCTAGGTACCCAATATTGAGTGCAAAAGGGAGAGTCTCGAATTCCACGAATCCAAAAGTATGCTATATGCAAAATATTCTATTAAAACGTCTTGATATCGAGTCTTTTTCTTTGTTTGGTCCCACACTGCCCACATTATCGTAAGTAAGGCTATTAAAACGTCTTGATATCCAGTCTTCTTAATGTCTTTATAGTTATTGGCTGACTTGTTATCAAATGCACTCCTTATAGAGTCAGTCGGCACTCATAATGACTTGGGCGCACATGACTCCTCAGATGAATTTATGTTTAATTCCTCGTTTATATATAGACCTTTAAAAAGATTAACCGATACAACTATGTTCATTCTAGTGTGTATCAGACATTGGAAACACAAAAAGGTGTCAACACGTGGATTCCCTATTTTTTCACATACTGGGAGGCAGTTTTGCCAAGATTATGATTGTGGTAAATCAAAACAGATTTTTTACTCATCCACTCACCTAGTGATTGAGTTAATATTGTCTGATGTAAACGATTAAGTAATATGTTTGCTTTCACATTGTGACTCGCAATGTATATTTATTTGCACTCTCCATTGTTTTTAATTAATGTCTTTTTTGTGCCTATTTTATCGTTTATTTCTTCCTTTATCGTAGTTGGTGGGGAAGGGGAAAGGGCTTCATATTATACTGATTGATCCTGATTTCTGTCTTTTCTAGGATATTTTTTTTCTTGCTTTTGTGAAATTTCATTTGTGCTGAAAATGCTCTCCATAGCTATGCATAAAGCTCTTCTTTTTTTTTCTTTTTTTGCAGCTTTGCAAAGCTTTGGTCTCCTTGCACAGATACTGGGACGCGCTAGAAATTATCAAGATGCTGTTGTACAGTACAATTTCTACTGAGAAAAAGGAAGAACTGCGGTCAATTGGTGCTCGTAAGCACTGTCATTGCCTGATTTATGGGTGGCTTTTTGTTGTTAACTCTTGTTTTTTTTCGTTTTGCTTGTGTTGAAACATCTCATTTTAAAATGCTGCAGGATCATTATGGAGGAACTTTTATAAAATTAATTGTGTTGCTTGCCGTTCGGGATACCACTTTTTCTTCTGACTGTTTAATACATTTTATCTTCTTTTTTGTTTCAGAAATAGCGCATGCTACCACAGATCCTAAGCATGGCTATGACTGTGTGCGTGATTTTGTTCAACAGCATCCTTATAGTTCTGCAGCCTGGAATTGCTACTACAAGGTGGCCTCAAGGTGCTTGATTTTCTTAGTTGTCACCTTCCGCCTAAATGGACTTTGAAACACAACTCAACAAGATTTTATTTTGAATTATTTTCTTGGCACCTAAATGAAGTTTGAAACACTAAAAGCTCAAAAGTATGATGATAAGCTAGAAATGAAATAGCACTGTACCAGTTTTTCCCCTATGGTATTGGTAAAACCTTAATGTCTGATCCATGAATTGATGGAGAAGATTGAAAAAGTTTAGCTGTTGGATTCTCCTTAATGTCTTCCTTTATTGACTTGTAATGGGTCCTTTATAAACATATTTTGAATCCGCCCCTCCGCCATATCTGCACCCACTATACAATATCCATTACCCTCTTGCTTGATTGCCACATTGACTCATTTCTGTGACAGTTCTCGGGATCATTCTGACTTGTCCACTTTGATCATCTCCGTGCCAAAATCTTTGTATAAGTTTGTATCCAGATGGAAACCTTGGCTCATGTCTATTCTCGCGCATTGGATCCACCATCTATACGGAACACCATAATTAGAGGCTTCTTCCCCTGAGATTCTTATAAAATTCTCATCTGTTGTGTCTGACTTAAATGATCCCAGGGATCGATAGTATCTGAACAGGGAACTCTGCCCATCAAAGAAGATGGACCTTAGTTATAGCGTTTTGTCTATTTATCCTTCTTAAGATGTCCGTGGTTTTCAAAAATGAATCCAACCGGATTCTATGTTACACGGATGCGAAGGGAGAAGAAGATGGCACTTCTGCACCTGATGGTAGTATCCATCGTTTTGATGTTACCCATCTCAGCCACCCCTCTAATTTGAGGGGTTTCCAACATTTTTCTTCCCAGGATGTCTCCCATGCTATTGTTCCCTAATCAATCATCAGTTCACGCCAGAGGTGCCTTGGTTTCAAAATCCTTGAGAATTACTTCAGTCCCTCACATACATGTCTGGATCTTGAAGGCGCCTTCCGCTATTCTTCCGCTCGTTTTCTAGCAGCAAAATTCAGATTGCGATCTATCTTGTGATTGCCCATGCCTTAGACACAATGATGTGCTCCATAGTGGGTGTCTCCTCTCATATAAGTTGTGGATCTTGAAGGTGCCTTGCACTACTTTTCTTGCGCATCCTCCATGAATGAAAAACTTGGTGTGTTCGTTACATGCTTTAATGAACAGAAGTAATATTGTTCTTGCCCATTTCAATGCAATATCATTCTGCATCTCGAATATTTGCAATGTCTTATTCATAATTCTGTGCTTTATAATAGAAGCCTAACCAGAAGATATTCCACAACATTTTTATTTTGGTCGGTGCCACAGATTGATCCCCTAATGTTGACTTGACTTTAGGTTAGAGTACCCCTACGCAAAGCATCTCAAGTTCCTGCACGAAATGCGGGAGACTCGCAAAGACTGTCTGCCCCCCATTCTCATCACTGGCCACCAGTTTGCCATGGTTAGATACCAGTCAGCTGCGAGGGAGTATCTCCAGGCCTACAGATTGCAGCCCGACAATGCTCTCATCAACCTCTGCGTAGGTGTGAGGCTGCAGAAAGTTGACATTAATTGACCCTCTCTCTCTCTCTCTCTCTCTCTCTCTCTCTCTCTCTCTCTCTCTCTCTCTCTCTCTCTCTCTCTCTCTCTCTCTCTCTCTCTCTCTCTCTCTCTCTCTCTCTCTCTCTCTCTCTCTCTCTCGCTCGCTCGCTCTCCCTCTCTCTCTCTCTCTCTCTTCTTCTTCTTCTTCTTCTTTTTATGCATATTCCATCAAAACCCACTTGAACCTCCTCCTTTTTGCAGGTACCTCCTTGATCAACATAGCCCTCGGGTTTAGGCTGAAGAACAAGCACCTGTGTGTTCTTCAGGGAATCGCGTTTCTCAACAAGTACCTCTCCATCTGCCAGAACAGCCAGGTATGCTTTCGTGTTCTATAACCCATGGGATTACACAACCAATCTATAACCCAATTCTCTTCCTCATAAATCTAGTTTGCAGACTATGAATCTCAACCCAGCCATTGGTTCTTCATCTAAAATTCCATTTCCTTTTGTTATTTCGGCCATCCCCATCTATTAAATTCCCTGTTTCCCTGCTGCTGTGCAGGAAGCATTATACAACGTTGCCCGGGCATACCACGTTGTCGGGCACTACACACTGGCGGCATCGCATTATGAGAAGGTCCTGGCTATGGAGGAGAGGGACCATCCCATTCCAAGACTCCCCAACGAAAGCCCAACCCTCCCGGAGACGGTGAATCCAGGCTACTGCAACCTCCACAGCGAAGCAGCTTACAACCTGCACTTGATCTATAAGAAGAGCGGGGCAGTGGATCTCGCCAGGCAGGTCCTCAAGATGTACTGCCGCCCCTGACAGATGCTGACCCACCCAGATGGAGTCTTCCCTCTTTCTTTCTGGGGAAACATCTCCTGATCCTCCTCCAAGGTTCATTCCATTGGAGGAGGCCGTTTTTTTTTCCTGGAGATATTTCTCATTGCAGTGGCCGTCTCATCTGCTGATGATCCTCCTCCGAGGTAGGTGTATCGGTCAGAATCTTGAGGAGAAGGCCTTTTTTTCTGGAAATATCTCTTGTTGCAGTGAGGTCCCCATTGAAATGATTGTGGCAAGGAAGCAGAGCCTTCTTCTTCTTCTTCTTCGCAGATTGGTTCTGAGAACAGGGAAGAAGATGGAGATTGATTTCTCGAGCATTCACCCCCCAGAGAATAAGTGCAAAATATTCATCTATAGATTTCTAGTCTCATAGGCCCCCTTTTTCCAGGGAGAGGGGTGAAATGAATTGTATTTTTATTTTTATTTTCCTCCTTTTCATGTAATCTAACATTTTCCCGGTTTATGGAAATTTAGAATCATACATTTGGTCTGTACTCCTGATAAATGTGACTAATATGTTTAATTAGAAAAAAGATGATGTTGTGGATTTCTAGATATTCCCTAATTGCATAAAATGATCGGGTGATTTAGTACTAATAATGACATTTGGTTCCTTGGATCAGTGATTTATATGGATGATTTACTACATTTTCGGGATCCCAACCGGATTTAATCCTAATTACAAAGTTCAAAATCCTTTAATTTTAAAATAACTGACTTGCAAATTTCTGAGTACTTTTGCCAAAAAAGTGGTGATCTGTCACTCAGACAAGCGAGTCCCTCACTAGAAATACAGCCTACAAACTTTCTCATCATACTTTCCAGGCACCACATGGAAAGCAGCACTCTTTCACCTCGCTCCCTCTCAAAATGCCAACCATGAGGGGGAATTTCACCTCCCTCTTCAAGAGCAAAGCAAGGCTGGCACCACACCAATCAAATATCAATCCACCGACAGACATCGGCGGCGGCCAGGATTCATCACATTGCATCAGAGAGATCCCATATTTTTATTTCAGGATACAAAACCCAGCTGGTTTGTTTTGAAACGACCGATCCGAACCCCCCCAACCAGAGGTGAAGATTAAGAATTAATCTACATCTTTGCAATGTCCCGAGAGCCCGGGGAATTCAATGCTTGTTATTTCCAGGAGGATCGACCGATCTCCCCCTCACAGAAAGGGCTTCTGGAGCTGGAGGTTCTTGATGTGGATGATCTCCATCCCGGGGTTCAGGCCCTTGGGACAGGCCGCGGTGCAGTTCATGATCGTGTGGCAGCGGTAGAGCTTGAACTCGTCGCACACCGCCTCCAGCCGCTCCTTTGTGTACTGGTCTCGGCTGTCTGCGATCCATCTGTAAGAACAAAAGGAAACGAAATCAAAAAACTTAAAACATAAGATTAAAAATGAAAAATATGGTTCTACCATTTGGGGTTGAGAGAAGATGAGAAGGATGATTAGAACATGGTTGAAGTAAAATTCTCTGTGGTATGAATAATCCAGAGATGTGCATTGGGATCGGATCACCCACCACATAACCCAAAAAAGTTGATGCGAAATGATTATTAGAGTATGGTTTTGGCATTTATTCACCAGAAAGATTAAACAAACATTTGGGTTGAATAACCACGGGATGTGCATCTTAATAGAGACCCTTCACTTCCAAAAAATTCATTTGAAGAATAAATATGGCATAAAGTTCGTCTTGTCGGAGCGTGGTGAAAGAGAGATAAAATAATGAGATCAAAATAGTCAAAGGGCATTTTTTTAAAATACTAAGACCAAAAGAGGGATCATGGGTCTGACTCATATTTCAAGACAATGAAACACAAAAATGCTACATGGTCATAGATCACAGATGAAGAAAAGAGTCCTACATGTTGAGCCCTCTTGCAGGAGGCAAAAGACAGGTGAAAAAAAAAAAAAAGGAAGTTTGAACATTGGTGAAACGGAATGTAGATTTCAGCAAACGAAGAGTGGTAAAAAAAAGGGCATAGAATGACGACAGCAAGGGAGAAGGCGATGTAAGAGAGAAAGGAAATCTCAAAGCATCGTCAGTAATCAGAACTAATTAGCACTTTGGAGGAAATAAAATGACCGATTTCCAAGAGACTCCGAGGAGCTATATCGAGAATATCATCAAAGAATAATTGTCGTCCCCGAATCCCACAGAAGCCAATAGTGTTAATTTAATCAGTACTCAACATATGTTCCGCATAAACTTGCTTGCCGTTGTGCAAGATGAAGACCTTGTAAGAAGAAAATATATTCCCGGACGAGTACCAAAGAAGGTTCATAATGATGAATTCTCATCTTTACTGGGGCGATCTCATTTGATCAAAAGACGATCTTGGCGCTTCCAGAACTAGTCGTTCCAAGGCAGTCCCTGAGAGTACTATAACAGTTTCCTTTTCAGGATAATTCCACCAGAACTCCACTAGTAAAATGTTTCGGGCAGATTCACACAAGAAACTCGCAAACCCATTAAACCTCTTAAGTTGGATGCCCGCTGTTCCCTTAATCCTAAATATTTTTCTGCCTATTTCGCAGCCACGGAAATCGAACACATCAACGACCTGTACTTCGGATGCTGCATTAATGTTTCTAACCAGTCGATAAAATGCTCATGCCCTTTGAAGTCCGCCATCTTCTCCTCTTCAACTAATCTTAAAATGAGATACCAAATGATGCATCTCCATTTCTGACCATGAGGCTATAACTTCTTTCTCTATCAGCCAGACGTATATGGCATGAACTCAAGCGACAAAGGGAACATACGACTTCCCAGGAAGTCGGAGCGGCTCATCACATCTAATACAAGATAACTATGGCGCAGACTAGACAGCGTCCACAACCTAGCATGTACTAGGCCCCCCAACCATCATCCCTTCTCACGGAAGGGGAAGCAAAAACAATGGCATTATAAAAGATGAGCAAGCTGCTCAACTCAGCAGGAGTATTATCCAAAACTGCCCTTTGGAATAGGCGCTAAACTATTTCCAAATGTGAAAACGCAACGTGTGATAATCACGGGAAAACAGAGAAAGCATAAGATGATCATCACCAAAAGAACAGCAATCGCTTAGATCGACAGGGAAAGACCAAATGTCAACTATTTACGACAAGGATGGAGGAGCAAGTAAAACGAATAGAACGATAGATCCCCCAAAAGCAGGAAAGGAATCCCGAAAATGCGCACCGGTGGGCGTGGAGGAGGGCGGCGGGGCCGAGGTAGAGCTCAGGATTCCACCAGTAGCTAGGGCAGGAAGTGCTGCAGCAGGCGCAGAGGATGCACTCGTACATCCCGTCCAGTTTGGCCCGATCTTTCTTGCTCTGCTTGATCTCCTTCCCATCCGCCGGCGCCGGATCCTTTCTCTTCAGCCACGGCTCCACGCTCTTATACTGCGCGTAGAAGTTGGTCATGTCGACCACCAGATCCTTCATCACGAACATATGCGGCAGCGGCGTGATCATCATCGCCCCCCCCTGGTCCTTCTTGATCTTCGTCAGGCAGGCGAGCCCGTTGTCGCCGTCGATGTTCATGGCGCAGGATCCGCAGATGCCCTCGCGGCAGGAGCGGCGGAAGGTGAGCGTCGGGTCCACCTCGTTCTTGATCTTGATGAGGGCGTCCAGCACCATCGGCCCGCAGTCGTTGAGGTCAACCTGGAACTCCTCCAGGCGGGGCTTCCCCCCTCCCTCGGGGCTCCACCGGTAGATCTGGAACGTCTTCAGGTTGGAAGATTTCTCCCCGGGGGACGCCGCCGCCGCCGTCGCCGTGGAGTGGCCCTGCGTCTGCTGGAGGAGCGGGCCCCTGGCGGAGGGGGAGGCCGCCGCGCAGACCTCTCTGAGCCCCCCGAGGACGGAGGAGGAAAGCGTGGACGTTCGCCGGAGAAGAGACCTCGCCGCCATTGCCTTCCTAGAGAGAGAAAGGCAACGTTGTCCTTCCTAGAAAAACCGTAAAACAACAACACTCTCCCTATATATAGTGAGCGAGAGAGAGAGAGAGAGAGAGAGAGAGAGAGAGAGAGGTGACGATGCAAGGGGACGCTCGAAATTTTTACGCGTCTCTGAGAGGCTGACACCATAAAGATAGAGAGTCCGGAAATGGATACAAGGAGATACGCTCGAAACTCGTACGCATCTATGAGAGGCGACCATCATATAAATAGATCTAGAGAGAGAGAGAGAGAGTCAGAAAAAAGGGGGATACAAAGGGATACGCTCGCATCTCGTACGCAGCTCTGAGAGGGTGACACCAGAAAATGGTCCAATACAATTTGCATACTGACAAAATAAAGGCACTTTTTAATACCTTCTATCCCCCTTTTCTTTCACCGCGGGCATTCTCCCCGTGCAAATTGATTAAGACCTTGGAGTGTGGCCGGAACACGACTGGGAAATGCGGCCTCCTGTCTGCCACGTCAGCTCAATTCGGACCGTTCTATTCTGGATTAACGACCGATCCAGAATCGAACAACGGGGGAACGATGCAATGGCAAAGTGCAAAATACCACCTCTATGGAGTCCATGTATACTACAGGCGGAGGATAGAAACTTAAAATTTATATCTTGCTCGGGGTTATGTAAAACAAAATCATCTGGGAGCTCCCCTGGACAAGTGACAAAAAATAGAGGACCGATGACTAAAATTCGCACTTTGCACCATATGTAAATAAGTATCGACAAGGAGTTCTTCTGTGAAAACGAGAGAGAACTTTACGTCTAAGTTTGTAATTTCCCAATTTACAGGGTTTTTTCATCCATAAATCAAACATGATCAGCAAGGGCCATCTCTCAAAATGTGCAGAAAATAGAGGACTGATGGTCAAAATGGGATGATGAACATATGAGAGGACTCCTGGTCAAGAGAGGCTGCATGCAGTCTACTCATAGACGGCTTCCAAAAAAACCCCAACAAAAAAAGATTAAAATTAAGTACCCAGAAAAAAGTGGGGAAAAAAAAACCCCAATGATGATCCGAAAATAATTAGCCATGAAAACCATGAATTTGTGCACATTCATCCTCAATCTTTCTTCGGCAAGAGCTCCAGGGAGACAGGGCAGTGATCACTCCCCTAAAAACCTGCAAGCCTTTTTTTTTCTTTTTTTTTCTTTTTTCTTGTGTTCAAGATCATCCGATGTCAGGCTATTCATCGAATCCATGTTAAAAGGCATTGATCATAATATTATAATAGATAAGCTTAGTAATATTATTCAAGGTGGGTGCTTGATAAACCATGAATTGGGCACGGGCACATTCATCCTCAATCCTTCTTTGGCAACAGCTCCAGTGAGACAGGGCAGTGATCGCTCCCATAAAAACCTGCAATTTTTTTTTTTTGTTGTTCAAGATTATATGAATAAATAAGCTCAATAATATTATTCAAGGTGGCTGGTGCTTGATAAAAACTGCCTTAAAAGGAATATTTATCCTCTTACCCTCGAGCTCGATCCCACGCCCGTGAATCTGGCACGCGACGATTCTGTCTCTGAGCTGTTCTGAGACGATGAAGTAGTCTATCCGCATTCTCTTACCTCGGTACCTGCATGGAAATTTGCCAAGAACAGGAGTATATGAGTCAAAAGTATTGAGGATTGCCCAGAGAGAGAGAGAGAGAGATGGACCCAATCTTGCTGCCAGTTCACAGGAAGATGGTGTCTGCCCCCCACACAAGTCAAATGGTGATATGATGCCTAGTGTGATTCTGACTCCACAAACATTTACGTATAAAACCCAGAAGAATCTAAGATTTCCGAGGAGCATTTCAGTAAAGATTTCAAACATTTGGGTGAAATTGCAAGAGCAAGCAAGGAAGACCGGGGAGAGAAAAGGGCCCAATCCTGGCCCAGCCAGATGATTCCCCAGTGGGGGTTGACCTTTGAGAATGTGTGGCCCACTAGATCTTTCTAATAATGAGCCATGGGACAGACAGGGGCTTCTTACTTTCCAACAGGATTCCCAGACCAAGAGAAGCCGCCGTCCATATCTTGCTCTTCATGAAGGTATCTGTATGCATCTACCAGCTTTCCCCTGTGGAAATAAAAAATAAAAAAATAAAAAAAATCAGAGGTTTTTTTAGATAAATAAAAATCCTCCATTCACACTAAAGAAGGGATTAGTCATTAAAGAATTTTAACTCCAATCGGATAATTATCAATGGATTTCTTTAAATCAAAACTTTTATGATTAATGAGAGATAGATCAAGTACCTTCCCCATTTACCTAGCACTTGATCTTTCTTAATCTCATTTTATGTCTTGTATCATAAACCCCCAAGGAGTCTTAAGCTCCTGATCAATTTGACGATGGAATAGAAATAAATCGGGAAGAAGATTCCAGTTATCTACTTTTCAGATTTTTTAGCATAAAAATTAGAAAAATAAAAAAAAGTTAGCGGAACCTTATTTTTGGCTGATGTAAATTAAGAATGCCCAAAGAAATAAACATGGATCTATAATGTTTTGACTAATTTACTCACAAAGATAGTATTTTGGTGAACCGCTGTCTTTCGGCCAATGTGAATCCAGGTTGCCCACAATCCTGTAACATAAATCAGGGCTACACTTAGTCATCAAGCAACTCGAACATCAATATAAACTAATTCTCCTATGTAGTTCTATTATAATTTAGAAATTTTATGATGCGCCTCCAGCATAGAAATTTTTAACCGTGGGAAACACAAATATATATATATATATATATTTAACATATTCCATCGTTAAAAACTCGCATAAGCTGTAGCATTATTACAGAAATCGATGAAGATGTATCTAATGGAGAATATAAAATCACCAAAAGAAGGCAAAGAGATCTGGAATTCTTTTCAGAAACTCTCAGGCAAAACTATCAGCCAATGTGAGTACTTTATTCAAAAAATAAGAACCAAAGAAATGAGCATAATGGAAGATGAAGAAATTAAAAAAAGTGAAACTGATACAATGGATAACAGGGTAGCAATCAAGGAGAATCAGAATGCCTTTTTATGAAGCCAGATGAAATAAAATTTATAAATGCTAAAGGGATTCAGAAAAATATAGAGAAAAAAAAAACCATACCTCTGTGTTTGGAGGAACATAGCCATTAAGCTTTGCACCAATGAAAAAATCTGGATGGCTCACATCGGTAACCTGATGGCTGCAATCTCATTCCAAGTGTAGAAAAACGTGAAACTTAACAATATAAAGGAGTATTCAATTGATTTTGAAGAAAATGCAAAGCCCAAAAAATAAATCTGTTATTCATGAAAGGCTGCTGCAATATAGGCAGAATGTCATTCTGAGATTCATTATGGCCCAAGGCCAACGTTTATTCTACAAGCATACCAAACCATGATGTCAAATAACAGACTGATAGAACTAATAGGAAATTTTTGTCTTCCGGCTGTTGGCCTTATGATTGCTTAAAGATGGATGCTTGACTGACAGGCTGAGGAGGGATATAATTATATATCCCCTCACTCTTGAAATGATTTGTTTCTTGATTCAGCTCCTTCAAATAATCAAAAACATTGCTTCAGATTCGGCTGCCGGCATAAAACTTTTGTAGCTTAGGTGAGCATTAAGGCGACATAAAACACCCACCAAGCCCAGGCATCTACCAGCAAGAAACTAGTTAGGAAATATTGGATCTATGTCCAACGGATCGCACCTCCCAAGAAAATGTATTTTGTTTCAGTCAGACACGTAGTCATGATGAAATAGCAGATGGGATCAACTTAGCAATATTATTTCCAAATGATCTTTTGCAGGAAGGGATAACGTCCAACTTAGAGTTGTCAATTATTTAGTTCGGATTTTTTTTCTAGTAAAAATAAAAAAAAGGCAGGTGGGTGGGGGTGCTCTTGATTATTCAAGACCTGATGGAAGCATTTGAAATATCCTGGTGGGTGAGGGTGCTCTTGTTTACATGTCATTGTAATTTGAAATATCCTTTTATTCTGGATGAAAATTCTCAGTTTTTGGCGAAGAGGTGAAGAAATAGATCGATCATTCCACTAAAATATGATCAAGAAAGTGGTTAAGAACTGATTCCCCGTTTTGGAGGTTCGATTGAAAAGGTGGTAGCCAGGCTAAGAAAGTTTCTCACCATATACAATGGTCGAATCCATCGAAACTTTACTAGATGGGCTAATAAAATTAAGCCACCAAAATTTAATTGGGACGCTCTGAAAAAGAGAGCGAAGAAGAAACTGGAACCGTAACTGACATCAAATATTTTGAGAATATAGTACTGCCATAACAGTTTAGCTAGACTGAAGAATAAGCTAGCAAATAGCATTTGTATCCCCTTCAAGCAACACAGTGAGCCTAATGCTGCGGATACGTTCAACCAGCTTGTTGCCCATTGGAAAAAGGATCCTTTCTTTCATTAAATGCCATGGCAGCATATCAAGCAAGTTTCCAAGCTCCCTTGTCCCCTATCCTACACCATCCTCACCAGTCAAAAGATTACAAGTGAACTAGAAGAGCCACGAACCCATTTCTTGAAAGGGGGTCAAGAATTCAGTTCCTGGGCAGTCACCCCATCTCTCAGACAAGAAGGCCAGTAGCGAGACACCAAGGATTAGTGTTTATTCCCATCATGAATCTAACAAGAGAAGTGATAAATCAAGACTAGTTGATCTGTAGATGGTCCTACCTCACAAAAAACAGATCATTATGTTAGACCACTGGGCCTAATGTATACTCGCAGGAAGACCAAAGGCAGGCCCAATATGGGAGAGAGAGTCCTGGGTCACAGATAAGTGAACCGGACAAGGTTGGAGGTTGGGGCACCTCGAGGATCCGTGTTAGGGTTTATCTTTCCTCTCTGTTCTTACCCCCCTTAGCCTCTCCCTGTTCCTGTCAGATTCTGTTCTCCACTTTCTGAACTTGGAATACCACTCTACTTGATCTACTTCCTTATCCCACTGTTCCAGTACCTTACACATTAAAAGAGATGTCACTGGATTACATGTCAGCTACAATCAGAAATTGGAGTTTGTACACCAATATATTTGAATAAATTGTACCTGGATACAGTGGATTCATCCCTGAGTAGAACTTTTAAGAATAGTCATGCACTGGTTATCACAGAAACCTGCGACTAAAAATGTCCAGCCTACTCTATCCACTCTCAATCAAATTTGCGTTGGATGGCCCAATAACTCTAACAAGGGGTGTGTACGATTTACAGTTCCAGGTTGATAGAACCTTCAGACAGTACAAATCTAAGAACCACCATCACAGGATAAGAAAAATCACAACAAGCAAAAATTGGTTTGATTACTGCCCATAGAACATTTCATCCTGTTGGAAAGGATTCTGGGCAAGCAAAAAGCATGCCACTGTTTCCCAATTCACCGAATCGGACTCATCCAGAAAATAAATGCCAATCAAAGTTGGTTAGTGAGTCAATCAGTCACATTTCCTTTTAATTCTAAAGTTCATGTTATTATTCCAGAACGTTATAGTGAGCCAATCAGTCACATTTCCTTTTAATCCAGTATTTTGAATATCCTGAATTATAGCAGTAAGATCCTGAATAATCTTCAGTGACCTAACACACAAATGATAGAACGATCTGAGTAAAAGTAGTAGTTACCTTACGTTCAGGTCTCCACACCAAATCAAAGGCTTATCACTTGACTGAAGGATGAATTCAAGCATCCTTTTATCCCATTTTCTTCTTCTTTTGAAAGAATTTTCGTCATCTTTCCAACCATTGTTAGGGACATAGGTATTTAGTAAGTAGAGTGATTCAAATTCAGCTAAAATCACCCTTCCATCTGGTTCGTGCTTGGAAGCTGCAAATAGAAATAAATTTTAAAAAAAGGTATAATAGCTCTAAAATGGCAGTACGATGTAATAGTATTCATGCAAGATTTCATCTTTAGCACAGAAAATTTTAATTTCCTTCAAAAACTTTCTTAATGAAGCATAGATCAATAGACCAATTTTGATCGGAAGCTCAGCATTTCTTCAACGGAAAAATGTTAAAATCCGGCCAATCATGGTAGTTCAGATTTAGGCATGATATCCGACCTAGGAAGCTTCCATCCTTCCAGAAGATGAGCGATGCCATTAGGAGAACAAGAGAAGATATCTACGAATTTAATCTAAAATTGGAGAAGTGCAAATACAAATCAACCCTTTATCAAAGAAATACACAACACAAACCATGGAATAACAAGAAAAAGGAGAATTAACTGTTAGAATAACGACTTCATATCCAATTGGCCATTGTATAATGGCTCTTAGAGGTTGTTTTCACAAAAACGCCTTCTAGCAATAGAACCACATTCATTGGAGATTGTGGGAGGAGGTGGGTTGATTCTGAAAACATATGCAAGAAAAATGATTGTGAGCCTTTTGAAAGCCAAGTCTGAGATGGAATTCACAAACTGATCTATGGAATCAGCAGATCCAAAGAGGCGGCTGAGTCTCTGGACCATGCTTTCTCCTTACTGTTTTATCCGCAGATCAACAGGATATCCTCCACTGCTTAATGTATATCCCAGTCAGAAAGACAATAGAAAATTAGCCCTTAATTATTTTCAAAGAATTACCAAAAGCAATATGATCAACAGAGGTGAAATCTGAAACTTGTAAAACAAATTTGTGGAAAAGAAAGGAGAGGAATCAAGAATTCGAATGCTTCAACACCCAGAAAGAGAGCCGGTTCCAGATTCAACAGTCTGCCTGAGGCCAAAACAATATCTATGAAGTCGCAATAAAGGAGAGAAACGGCTAGAAAAAGCTTGTAAAGCTATGTCGAGCAGATCTAACGTTGCCTTTCGATCTCGAACATGCAGACCAGAAGAATATTTTCACTTCAATGGATACTTAACCTTCCATTAACTGCAAATAAGAATAGGTCTTGGCAAAACAAATGGTAGATTCATGATGGACTATCAACCAGCTAACCCGCCATTTGATGGGTAGCAGGACAAGACTTTCAGAAAATGATAATCATGAAGAATACGAAACATCCAACTATAAAAACTAGCAATTTTGTTCCATCACTTACATGTTGGATCAAGGGAGAAAGAAACCCTTTTCGGCTGAAATTGTCGTTTAACAATTAAAGCAGTCCCTCCATACTTTGAATCTGAAAGAGACCACCAAACACGATAGCTCTTAAATGGGGCACTTGATAAAGCGCGCATGAGCACCTGCACAAATTTTAAAAGCCACCACATGCTCACAATCCAGGTTGAAAAGAGCAGTTCCACAACCCAACAGAGACATAATGTCTATTAAGCTAAAATTGTGATCAGGACTGATTAAGACAAATGAAAAAAATTGAGATAGTGGGCAAACGGTGAACCATCCAGTAACCATTACTGGATATTCTGCAACAAGCTATGTGTAAAACAAAAGGTTAAATTAAGTTAATTCCCTACAGCGTCAAGATTCTCCATTTTATATGCATTCAATCACACCTTATATGGATAATTTCTACCTCAAAGCAAAAAAAATAGAAGAATAAAGGTAAAATTTTATGCCTTCAAATAGCTACGACTAGGAAAGCCTATGAAAGCTGCCGAATTCAAGACAATAGACTAGAATTCCCACAATAGATATGTGATGTAGATGCGAATGATACTACAATCTGATATAGAAGAACCACGCAAATATGTGATCTGAGACAAGACAAGACGACAAACTGAAAAGAGATCAAACCTAAGGTCATGACTATTTCCTTCATTGAAAAGTGCTGAGACCTTTTAGAGGAGCAGTCTATGCACCAGTCAAGGCATTTAAGGTTAAAAGTTTAGATAATTGCCACTTCATCTATAATCTCTTAAACTCATATAGATTGAGGATGAATCATAAGTACAGAAAATTCAGAAAAATGATCATTTTACTATGTAGCTTGCAAACAAAAGAGATTACACATGCTTATCATCAACCAAACAACGATTAACAAAAGCACCGAAAAATCTGATAAATGCGAAATATGTTACTCAGTTCATATTCCCAACAGGTTCCAATAAAACTTGCTAACCCCCCCCCCCCCCCCAAGAAGTCAAATATGCTACCACCAAAGTGTACAGAATTAATATCATCAAAGCAAAGGTTATCCGAATATTTTCTTCACTGGAGTAGTCAGAGTATCCATAACATTGTCTTCTCCCTTCTCAACTACGCCACCAGTCCCGTGGAAATTCATTTAACCAAGTATGAATGTACCGTGTTGCAATCCGATTTGTAATCCAAAAAAAGTAAGCACATCCATGAAAATCTGTACTTTTCATTGAAAAACGAAAAGTAAACTCATGCATATAAACAAGTAATACTCTCAAGATAATCCTAAGTTATGCCTACAGGCACCTGCTTTTCCTCACTAGCCAAGCTTGTATCATCTTTCAACTCGGAAGGATTTTTCGCAGCACCCTTGGATCCTGCTGCAGGCATCCTTACTTCCTGTACCAATCCATTTAAGATAATGTCAGGGAATCAGATGCTTGAAAAGAATAATACAAGTATAAAGGAGCTCTATTTGTAAAAACACTAATCATGCCAACATAATGAGGTAAAATTAGTATCCATTATAAAATCCAAGCTGATGAACAGCATCGGTGAAGATGCCTTAACTCAAAAGCATTGAGGAAAGAAGAGTGCATATAATTGTACGTTTGATATTGAAAGTTTTCCCACTTCATACCCATAACTCTTCTTTGGCCTACAAAGGCTCCCCAGGATCTGACCCAAAAGTAAATCCTATGAAATTGGATTCGCTTTCAATAAATGAATGCAATGTCAAGCTGCAACCCATCATGTAAGATAACATAAATCTTACAGCCATACAATATTTTTCGTCATTACTGGTGTTCTTGCCACAGTTGCCACAGCCTCTGCTTCTGATGTTGCGATTGAAAGGCAACCACTTTCAGCAGTAACGGGGCTTTCATTCTGTGGAGAGAAATGAAGCCCCATTTGTGCATTCGTTTCATAGTTTTAAGTGAGAAGTCCACCTCTTCTGTCAATGAAAAAATACATAAAAAGAATGCACTTGATCCACCATGTGTACACCAAGTACACATGGTGGATCGAGAGGCCTAAATTTTTAAATACATATAAAGATTAAAATTATCAACATTTGGACAGGACACCACATTCCACCTACTCCATGTCAGTTTCACTCATCCACCAAGTGTACACCAAGTACACGATTATGCAATCGTTCAATGTCGGATGATTTGAAAATCTCTTCCTCAAATATTCTTCACTTTGAAGTTATTGACGCATCAAGGAAGCAAGATGGACTCATCACTCCAACAGTCTTTAGGCCAATTTCTCAATACTTCCTTAAAAGAAAAAAAGAATGCACTTGATCTGAATGAGTATGCTTTTCTACCGCCAATACCTTAAGAACAGACTATTCACTGATTATTAAGGAACATAATTTTGTTTGTATCTACAATGCCAAGAATAGAATAAACTAGAAGATAAAAACTAAAAAAAACTAAAAATTGTTCCGATTCTATGCTTCCCATGAATCTAGCTGCATTGCTATATGAGATATTTAATCAGGAAAGAGCCCTAAGAACCCGGTATGCACATTATACCTCTCCAGCATCACATGATAAAAGGGTCCACAAAAGCCATATACAGCCTTTGATCGACGCATTTTGAGCTCAAAACCATGAGAGTAGTGTAGCCCTCCCCTATCAACCGTATAGAAAAAGAGGACATTGTATCCTGCATTAAAATCACTTATTGTATCATAAATAAATCCCTGAGCTGATGAAACCCATCGCTCAACTGTCCAAAAGACAACAACCGAGACACCAGACAAAGTAGTAACACAGTTCCCAGATCAATCACTATCGAAACCAACCCAAAAACTGTAACTCACCGACGATTTTTCATCGAAGGACTAGAGCTGTGAGTATTGACCAAGCTAGAGAGAAAGAGAGAGAACGGGAGAGAGATTCTGACAACATGAAGAAGGCAGGGACGGACCTGGATGCAGATGGCATCCGGGTCGAGCTCCTGCACGAACTTGGAGAACTCGGGCCAGTCGTTCTTCACTCGTAGGAGGAGGCTGTTGGCGTTCCATGTCAGGAACTTGAGCGGCCCCCGCTTCTCTGCCTCTTCCCCCGGCGCCGCCGACCCTTCTCGTCCTCCCACTCCTTCGTCACCCGAGTGCCCGGAGAGGGCGGGCTTCTTGGAAGAGCCCTCCTTCGCCACCGGCTGGAAGAATCTTTTCATGGTCAGCGCGGGCCGACTCGAAGGTCTCCTCGTACTCTCTCTTCTCCCTCGCTCCAACCATTCGGAAGGTGAAAGAAACTCGGAGGGGTGAAACTCCAACAAATAGAATTACCGATCTATCCTCTCAAGGAATTAAATTTCAGATCATAATTTAAGTTTCCTAAATAAATAAATCCTTAATATATAAAAACGATCCGTCCTTTTTTCTTCTTACGAGAATAATGTCAGAAAAAAAATCACAATAATTTAGGATTATATTCTCCATTTTACCAAGAAATATAATTTGCTCAAGTTTGAACTGAAAATAAGAAATTATGAATTAAAAATTTTCATAATTGAAAACAAAGAAATCTTTAGTCATGAATTACTTACAAAATAATTTTTAAAAATGTAGATGTAATATTTAAAATTTTTCATCATAAAAAAATATGCCTAAAGTTTAGACGCTGCAAACTTCTAAAATAAGTAAATCTAGGAGAATTCGTACCATGTAGGATGTTTAGGCTGATGATTTTTAAAATCAATTAATTATTGAAATAATAATATCAAAATTGGACCAAAAATCATCATTCTTGTATCACCAAAAATATCTCAAAAACATGAGAAATACTAATCTCTCCATCTCTACAAGTATCTACCAAATTAAGTTATTAAGAAACTTAATGTGACGTTATTTGTACCATATTAAGTTTTCAATTTGCATGAGAATTTTACCTTATTTACATTATAAGATCATTTATGTCATGATATTGTGTTTTACAATCAAAGGTATTAAAATAAAATAATGTGATATCTTTTCTACTAATATGAAGCTCAAACCAAGCCCATGTACCACTTCTCTGAAGACCAGCCCCTCACACCCCACATGAGAGCAGAAGGAATAGGGGAGAGATTGAACCCATTATTTTGACCAAGCTTGAGTTTGAGCTGGGATGTAAGCCTAAGTTTTTATATTAAATGTATATGAGAGAAGGAGAGAGATTTATGAAGGACCACATTGGGTATGTTGGCATTCTTAGCATGGTATGGTATATTATTCTTAAATGGGAACATGAATGATTGACCCAAAGTGGGTGGGCAGGTCCCTCTAGAGGCCAAAGTGGGCCATTATGTGCTGCCCCATTGTGATTGGGGCCCATCTAACTGAGAAATAATTTACTTAAATAATTAGGCTAGTTCATCCTACATAAATAGGCTCATGCTATTTATGTAGGATCAACTAACATTCATTGATTTAAATAAAGTATTTCCAAAAGAGTCAAAAAAAATTAAATACCACGTTTTGTTATGATATATTTTTAAAAAATATTTCCCTTGTGAATTATGATATTTTACTCTATATGAAAATATTAAAATGTGGATTTTTTAATTATTAGGGGACTTATAGTGGAGCGAGTGGAACCCATCAGATGAAAGGAGATGGATTTTCTTGATGGAAGTGACCCATAAAAGTACAAGTGTAGATGTACATGGATTTTATATTAATTATTTTTACTAGTCTCATGTCCGAAACGATCCTGATGTGACAAGGCAACGCCAGAACCCGAATGCCCGTGATGTGACTCGACGGCGTTAGATGGAGTTTAGCGCAGGAAGGGTACATCTTCCACGTAAAATAAAAGAAGGGACTTTTCTCAAAAAATATGCGCCGTCTCTTTATCCCCGGGCGTACGCGGAATGACCGTTTTTTTATTGGTATACAACTTAGGATGTATGACATTTAAAACCTAAGTTTGGTGCAACAAGAAAAGTTTTTTTAAATATGGGAAATAATATAAAACGAGAGAAAGGTATATGATTCATTAATTAATGTTTATCAACGCCGGGAATCAATAACCATTGGAAAATTTATTTTAAACCCCGGCAAAACCTGCCATTTATGAAAAGGTATAGGATTAATTTTTTTAAGTGTAATCTCCGTTAACCACGCACGAGGAAGGGGGAGACGATGATGATCAGATGTTTTTTGGAGAATGATGTTAATAGAAAAAAATATAGGGGGTTTTTCAGAATTAAAAGAGAGAAAGATACTCTTGATGTAATTAGTTAATTAATATTTACTATTAAAGGAATCAATGACATATGAATTTTTTATTTTAAACCCTCGGAAAACCTGCCATTAATGAGAGGGTCTCGGGTTAATGTCTTGGATTCAATTGCCAGCAACCACACAAAGGAAAGGTAGGGAGAGGATGATGATTTGATGGTTTCGGGTGACCAAATTTAATATAAAAAACTAGAGGGAGTTATTCAGAATGAAAAGATAGTAGTGAGACTTGATGCAAAACCGGACGAAGTCAATGAAAGTCGCCAGGTGTCTGAAACCATCACACGTTATAGGCGATCGTGGTAGACACGTGTCTTCCACGTGGCAGTGCGGTGAGCATGCGCCGCCAGCCCCAGCGCAATGCATCATCCATTTGCTGCTGAATATACGACGCCGGCGTTTAATATATAGGCCTCAGGTCGGGTGGGTCATCATCCCAACCCGCTCGTCGGACGTTGACTCGTCCGACGAATAAGACGTGCACGGCCCCTCCTCCATCTGCCACGTCATCCCATCTCTTCCTCTCTCTCTCGCTCTCGCGTAAACGGTGGGTCTTCGGGAAGAGGGGGCCAATAGCCGTCATATGAAGTTTACACCCTGTATTTATAAAGTTTTATAATCATATAAAATAACAGAATTTAGTTCACATGGCTACTGCGTAGACTCATGGGCTGTACTATATAGTCGAACTCATCCCTCTCCACCCTCCCTCCTCGTCCTATCTCTCTCTCTCTCTCTCTCTCTCTCTCTCTCTCTCTCTGAGAGGCGGCTGGTTCCCCTCTTCTCCTCCATGTGGACTCCACAGCGGCTGAGCAGCGGCGCCGGCGGCAGCGCAAGCCCCTTCTGGTGGAGGAAGAAGAAGAAGAGGAAAGAGGGAAAGAACAGCGGCGGCGGGCTGGGCCTGGAGAACTGTGCCTTCGTCCCCGACCACGACGAGTACTTCTTCCATGGCGGCGAGAACCCGAGCCCCCTTGTCCAGCGGAGCCCAGTGAGCTACGCGCCGTCGCCGTCCCCCCTCTCCGGTCGCCAGCCGGCGAGCTTCGTCTCCTCCCTCCGGTCGCTCTTCCCGCTCCGCCGCCGCCCGCCGACGGCGGCGACGGCCCTCCGCCGGCGGCGGCTCACCGGAACTGTCTACGGACGGCGGCGGGGGAGGGCAAACTTCGCCGTGCAAGAGAACCCTTCGTCGGAGCCGCTCCTCCTTCTGGAGCTCGCCATCGCCACCGACCGCCTGGTGAAGGAGATGGCCGCCGGTGCAGTTCGGATACTCCTTGAGTGCGACCGGCAGCGACCCTACTACCAGTCCTCGATGAAGAAGAAGAGGACGATGATGATGGGCATGTGGCCATTCTCGCCGGCGGCGCCGCCGCCGTCGACCTCCCTGTGGGAGGAGCCGGTGTGGAGCATGTTCTGCAACGGGCGGCGCAGCGGCTTCGCTGTGTCTCACTCCTGCGGGGAAGACGACCTGCGGGTCCTCCGCGCCATCCCGGCCGTCTCGGCCGGCGCCGGCGTCTTGTCGTTGCAGAGGGCGCCGGAACGATCGCTGGAGAAGGGGGGCCTTCCGCTGCCGTACTCCGGCGGTGAATCCCCCGAGGTGATGTACATGCGGGCCAAGTTCGAGCGGGTGGTGGAGAGCAGTGACTCGGAGGCGCTCTACATGGTGAACCCCGACGGCGGCAGGGCCGGCGGTGGCAGAAGCGGCCCGGAGCTCAGCATATTCCTCCTGAGACTGTGAGGTGGCTGTGCGAACCTTGCTGCTCTGAGGTTCCTTCTTGCTTGACCTTCCCGGCTTCTTCATCTCTCCCTCTCTCGCCTTCTATCTATCTCAACCGTCTCCTCAGTCATTGTCAGCTCTTAGATTTTTTAGGGATTGTTACGTAGGAGAGCGTGTGAGGCGAACTGACCATAAGACAACTGCCGAATCGAACCCGATTCGTGGAGTCGGATGGCCAAACTCAACTAACCTTCGAAAGTTTGACCGGAACGGTGCGTCTACGCGCCGGGCCAATCGCAAGCATTTTCTATGTCAGATCGTTGTATTTTGAAAGACGCGTATAGTCTCAAACATTAACGTAGAAAAGTACGGCCCTGAGAAGGCACGCAACTATCATACATGATATGTATATATATATATATATATATTTAGAGCGAGAGAGAGAGAGAGAGAGAGAGTCTGGTCAGATGGGTAATTAGATTTTATGGTTGATCAATCTCCCTTCACTTCACTTTGACTCATAAAACCTAGGGGAAAAGTGTTCATTTTTGGTCCCTTAGTCTTATAAAGTATAGTCGACATCTAATTTTACTAAAAAAATATCAAATAATTGTCATCATTTATTCTCCCAATTGATTGTACAACTTTTTGGTAGCATCTTCTTTATTAGCCCTTTAAATTGAGCTGGTACTTATGTTATTAGATGGTGACAACTCAATTTGCACAACCTGCTTGTAGCCCAATTTTTTCTTAAAGCATGACCCAAGAAAAAACAAGATGGATCTTGGATTGCTTTGTAACTCGACTTTATATGCCACAAAATCTGGTTTTTCCAAAGCTTCATTTGATCTATAGAACACACACACACACATATATATGTATATATATATATAGGAACATTAATGATATCTTTCTAGTAATGTTGCATCAAAAGACAAATTTTCTAGTGGCAAAGGACCATTAAATTCTACCATTATCTTCTATCATCCTTGTCCTTTCTTAGAGGCCTCAGAAATTCTCATAAAGTGGATGCAAGAAAGTAGTTTGCTTTCAAAAAGTTTATCTTCTAAATTTTCCACTCTAATTTACTTGATTCATATATAGGTAGTCAGGCAGAAAATTACATATTGATATTGACTAATAAGAAATACCCATTTTCTATATTCTTCTGGGAGCAAGAAATAGGAACTTTGAATATCTCTTAATTTGACAATGGTTTATGGTTTTATTAGACAATTTGTTTGTGGACAGTAAGCAGAACTCATTTTCAAAAGTGATGAATTTTAATCCAAAAACACCTTATGTAAGTTTTATGTAAATATAAGATAGAGATAACTAACAAAAGATGTTCAATTTAAGTTTATTATTTAGTGAAAAAAATCATCTTTGATCATGCTAGGTGTGTTTGAGAATGACAAAGCTGTGAAATGTAAATATTTTAATACTCAATTTCATAAACTTCGCAATATCTTTCACATGAGATCCTACTAGCTCATTGTTGAAATCCACAAAGATCAATACATATATTTAAAAAGGAATTTCCAACGGTTGTAGGAGACTAGCATAAAGAACATTTTAAGCTTTCTTTTGTTAACAAGAACCACATTGCAAGTGTAATCTACAATCTCTTTCTTCATATGTGACCAATCTGAAATATACTATCACCTTTTGATGGATCATATGAAATCAATCATAGCCACTCACAAGATAAGGTGATAAATTATTATCTCTAGTAGTAAGTGGATAGGAACATCAAATATATTTTCTAAAGTAACATCATTTACATGCCAATACCTTTAGAAGATCCTAATGGAGAATTTATATTCAAGCAAATTTTGAACCCCTTGTTCTTGCATCATAGTCTCTATTTTTCTATTTAAAACTTATAATTTTTAAATTAGTATTTACCACGAATTTTTTACCAAATAAAGTGAAGGAAGTCCTACTTTGTAGGAATTCTCCCAACTGTTGACAACAATGACAAGGGTGATGAATTCATGTCAACTCTTCATGGCAGTTACTAAGACCCCATGCATGCTCATGTCCTCATAAGCCTTGTTAGGGGGGGTTCCCTTAAAAAAACCACCTCAAGTTTTCTCCTACAAATCTCAACCCTAAGAAGGTGGGGAGGCAGTCAAAAGGTATACCAAGGAAGATCAAAGTAATCTCAAGAACATGTTATCGGAACTCACATGTCATCATCTTGCCGCCAAATTTGTTCACTTAGTCCCTTATTCTTTGGACTACCATTCCATTCAAAACCATCAATAGAACTCAAGAGCTTGCAAGTCATCCATGACAAGATTCTCTTGCACTGCACAATTTTGGTTAGTGGAAAAGTTTTAATTAGTTCCATGGGGATCAAATAAAATATTTCAAGTCAATGAAGACTTTTGGAGATATAAGGGAATGTAGTAATACACACAACATAAATAATTAGAAAATATGGGATTTGATCATTGTGATGTGATAAAAGAATAAGTAAAAAGAAAATATGATAGTGAAAACAAGATATTGGTAGGACTGTCGATATCATCTATATACCTCATAAGAAGCAATTAACTCTTTGGTTGGTTTGGTCCAACACACCTTTGTTTACATGGGAAATGGTACACCTCTGCATGGGTTAACTATCAACATACCATCACCTACAAAAGAAGGGAAATATGCATAAGAGAAGGAGGAGGAGATGTTGGAAGGAGTTTGAGACCACTTAGTGTCTCGCAAGAGAAGAGTTCATTGTTGAATTCTTTTTGTATCTCTTTGTCTCATGATTTCTCTCTCTTGTGCATTCTATTACCAGTTCTTTCTCAGTCTCATTTACAATTCATTAGTCCCATCAAGTTCTAGAGTCTTGTAAGTTATTTGGCTCCCACTATGTTTTAGTTCCTCTCTTCCCTAAGCCAAGGGAGAGGAATAATGCATTGTCATCACATGTCATCATCAACTATTATAGCCATTTACTATTAACCATTAATATATTCCTATTGGAATCTCTCTCTCTCTCTCTCTCTCTCTCTCTCTCTCTCTCTCTCTCTCTCTCTCTCTCTCTCTCTCTCTCTCTCTCTCTATCTATCTATCTCTCTCCCCATTATCATGGCAATCGAGTTATCCTTCCTGAATTATTCTTGTGTGCACACAATATCAATCATTTATTCAATACGATCCTATCATTTGGTATCATAGTCACTCTCCATCACACTCTCTATATGGCGCCTTGACAATCCAATGCATGTGTTGACAACATTAAAAACATGTTGATGAGCTCTGAAAATAGTTCTGCTAAGTTCTTGATTTGGAATCTTATATGGAACAATGGTTTGCTATTATGGAAGGGATCATCTCTCAAATTCAACATGCCCTCACTTAGTTGACTTCTCATCCACCTAGTACTAATAGTCCCTCAACCTTAACACCTCACCTCACCACCTCGATGACTCATGATGAGCTGGAAGTTGAGTTCGCTGCTTAGGCTATTCCTTTGGTGGTGTATGCCCCATCAAAAGTGTTACATTGACTCTTCCCTTGGCACTTGTCATCTTGAGCCCCCAGTTTTCACTAAAGAAGACACACAAGGCTGAGTTAATCATGCAAATATGTTCTTCTCTATTCATCCGCATACCAAAGCTGCAAAGATGGTTATGGCAGGCATCCATTTTGATAACGAGACATTACACTAGTTTCAATGGGTGGAGCACCATTCTCCGTTTACCAATTGAATCGATCTTCACTGATGTTTGTTTATTCACTTTGGTTCTTTCTCTAAAGGCATTATGTGTGAACAACTCTTTAATTTGCGACAATTACATTTCATCACTGAAATCATTGCAATTTTGAAATTATGTATGAGTATATTACTAATCTTTACTTTGACATTTTCAAGGATATCTTTCTCAAAGGGTTAAAACTTGAAATTCAGGTGAAAATTTGCCTTCTTGCCCCCATGGACCTCCATCAAATTATATAGTTGGCTCAACACACCGAGGAATATAATCTCTTCTTCTAGCATATGACATCGAGGCCTCTATCACTCACTAACTCAAGCTATATATCCTATTGTGTTAGATCATCCTCACCTTCTCTAAGTAGAACTATAGAGTTTCCTCTACTTCTCGCTAGGCCCACAAGCTCCTTATCATTCTCTATGACTGACAGACACTAAATATCAAGAAAGACAATTGAGAGGCCTTTGTTTCACTTGCAACAAGTGCTTTACTCGAAGCCACAAATGCAAGTGTGAACTATGTATTCTTATTGTCACAAATGATGAGCTACCTCAACAGGTCAAGGACAAGATCCTATTAGTTTCTCTGACTAGCATGTTCTTCACCTCCACACTTGTAGAGAAAATTGAACTCTTTATGAATTCTATTTTGAGATTTCAAAATCTTAGACTATTGATAGCTCATAGGAAAATTGTCACTCAAAGTATCACCATCTTCATTGATATGATACCATTAATAATTTTATTTCCACTGAATTGGTCCAAGAGATGACTATTCATATTTTAGCAACTCCTCAATTTGGAGTTTGTCACCAAAATTTACACTTTCATATCAAGTACTACCTCTATCAAGAAATTTTGATCTAGTTGCAAGCTCTTATCATTTGGAAGGATTTCTTTGCCCTTCAACTAGGCAATGTGGACTGCATTCTCAAGATGCAATGGCTCCACACCCTTGATAGAGTGAAATCTGATTATTATAATCTTATCATGAAATTATAATTAGGAGACACTATGGTCGAACTATGGGGTGACACCAATTTATCCACATTGGAGATTTTACTTAAATCCATGACTGATAACTCTCATTAATTACATGATAAAATGCTTAATATTTTATAATTTATAATTTAATTTTAAATAAATATTTTTAAATTACTTTAATATATGTAAATGATATTTAACTTATTTATATGATTATATTGTTAATTTTTAGAAGTTACATGATGAAATTAACCATGAAATATTTTGATAGGTTTTACCAATAATTATTATTATTATCAAAATGCTTCTATAT